ATGAATCATCCAAAAGCGTACTTTTAGGTGCTCTATTTAGCTGCTCTATGATTAAAGTGCTCTATTAAGTAGCCCTGTTTGCCGAAGGGATTTAGACTACCCTGACCAGGGCCAGCCTATTATTGGAGATTCTTTCAAAGTACGATGTGCCACTGGGAAAAAAGATGACCAAAAGTGCTCCGACGTCAATTTTCCACGGGATCACTTTTGGCACTTGTGTATGTAATGCTGAAGCATGGACTTTTATTTCTAAGAAGCTATGTTGATGCGGCCTTTGTTTGAAACATTGTTGGTGGATGGCATCAGAATGGTGTCTTTCCTCCCATTTTAGCGTTCCTCAGCGTCGGAACGGCTTCACGGAAGGTGCACTGTCGTCCTCTATGAAAAGGAACACACGAACGCGCGGCCTGCGCTCTGCGGCGGTAAGGAAGGGGCTTTATGTGGCGGCTGCCTACAGTACTATCAACCGACAGCAAAAAAGAACGCGTTCGCTTTCAGCTTCATCTGTAGCAAAAAATAAATAAATAACGAGTTATATCCGGTAGAGAAGCACTTCTACTGCCAACATATAAAACGTTGTGCGTGACCATGGCGCAGGCTGCAGTAATCGCCCGATATCGCTCACCGTGCGAGCGGGGAGGAAACGTACTCTAGCAGCGCTTGTCTACCGGCCATGACTCGTTATCTTGCTTAGCCATAGATGACGCCAAAAGTGAACGTGCTTTCTTCACTTGTCGGTCGATGGTGCTGTAGACAGCCGCCGCAGAGCGCAGGCCACGCGTTCGCGTGTTCCCTTTCATAAAGAACGAGAGTGTGCATTTTACTACCGCTGAAACACAAGTCGGGCATTAAACATTCATAAATTTTGAAGTCAGAATCTCTTTTATATGTATACTACTACAGGTCGGTCATGCGTCCTCTTTTTTAGAAGAACAGAAAGTTCTTCTCAGAACTTTCTGTTCTTAGAAGAACTTTCGGCGCACAGCAATTCATCTGTAGAGCAGACGACGGATGACAACTTGCCCTAAAGCGTGTTCTGTAGTCTAATGCGGCTGTCTTCGTGCCCCAAATGATAAAAATTTGTTATGAATCGTTTACGAACTCATTCAACATTCAATTCTCTTACCCAACGTGTTGCAAACACATGGCCGTCACAGCAGCTCCATCGGTGTGTCAGTAATGGAGAGGCACCACATAATAGAAGTCTCAGTGCTCTTCGTATAAGAGTTAATTCAGATACTGTAGAATACCGTGTTCAAAACAGTTACTCCTATCTGCTAAAACAGCCTTTTTTCACCAAATGAGGTCACGTTTACTCGCGTTTGAAGCTCATTGCCGCTTTTCCATTCCTATTTCTAGATTTCTTAACCTATCAGCGCATTCTCGAAAAGCTCTGATTTGTACCACAAATATTGTCGCTAAAAACAAAATATTGCAACTTGTTTTTTTATATTACTGTATAATGGTCTTCGTTTGTCTATTTGCGAGATTTTAGGGAAAATCGAAGATGGGGTTTCTTATTATTCAAGTTTCAGTGGAGTACACTTTTGCCAATATGAGAACTTTGAGGCAATATATAAAAATTTACATTTGCCCCACGGCAGCAATAATTTATGTACCTAATGAACACACTATATCCTTAAAACGTGTCAGGTTTGAAAACGCTGCTTGCATTACTTTCGGAGAAAAAAATAGGGCATACGTAACTCATTTTAAACTATCGCAAAATTCGACATTTTTAAAAGCTATTTTTTTAGGTCTACAAAATTGAAATTGTATGAATTCATTCTTCATTAGACATGCATTTCAGGTAAAAAATATCTTCCTTGAAACAAAAATACTTGTTTTTTTATAGCATCTGCAATTTTCAAAAATGACAGGAGACGAAATTGGTGCCTCCGTGTTGGTGAAGTTTGATATTTTTTTCTCGTAAGTTTTGCCGTTAATCACAAAACGAAGTTGACTTTCGGGCTACCTGGTGAGAGGTGCACAAAATATAAAATACTCAATGAAATCTAAAATATCAACTTTTGGACCCGTGTCGATCGCTCGTGGAATAACCCAGCAGCATTTAGCTTGATTGTTTCTACAGTTTATTGTTTCCATAATGGGTAAACTACCTTGCAGAAAAGCTCGAACTGTACGCACTGAAGTGACACGTTCACTGAATTACGAACCTTGGCCCTACGCAATTGTTGCTTTGCGCTGTATGAGATATATGACTAGCGTATGCTACAGTTGCGCCTACGAAGAGCAGCTGAACTTGAACGTTTGAGTGCATCGGTGCCTGTGGCCGGAATCGCAACCTCATTCTGGACCTACTTTGGTATTGGTTATGCTATTTTTGTGGCTGGCATTTTGTTGTACATTGACTTTTAAATCTTCTGTGCTTTTGTGCTATGAAGTCAGTCATGTAATTGTCTACAGGACATCAGTTTGGCCCCAGGTATTGACCGCTGCGGTACTGATGTCCTGAAGTGCACTACTAAATCCATGTGGCTTAAATGCGCTGACTTAACGCTTGCTCTTTCATTTTTACTGTCCCTGCAGAATTCCTGACTTGCGCCGCTCGTCTTACGTGACTAAGAAGCGCTAATTACATCTTTTGGGTTCGAGCTGGCAAGTTGTGCCTCCCACAGCTGTGAACTTCCCACATTGCCCAAACAAGATTTCAAATTTTCCACACACACTTCCGAAAGATATAGCACACTTCCAAGAGATATGATACAATGTTGACAAAGCGCCGCACCGCAGACAAGCGTACGGTGCAACGTTGGATATATTTTGCTCGGCCATAATGGCACCACGCACACACTGGCCAGGAAGGGAATGAGAGAGTGGACACTTTAGCTCGAGATCTGTCGAACCGAGTGGAGCGTCAGTTGAGCGCCACCTAATGCCCTACAGGACATTCTTGCTTACCAACGTAACAAACGAAAAAAAAATATAGTGCACTCATAAATCACTCGCAAGAACTATAAAAGAATGCGTCTGCTTTTTTTTTTTTCGCGCAGGTGAGCTCGTGTGGCTAGTTGACACATTCCTGCAGCTGATATGGATGACCCTGTCATGGTGGCCGCCCCTGTCCGGTCATGGCTGAGCATTTAGACGGGCTCGCAACGTCGTCTACAAGGACAACTCTCCCATGAAATGACGTGTTCCAAGTTTAACCGACGACGCACAAAGGGCACGAAAAAAAGCTACTGAGTGTTCCGCTCTCCAGCCATTTTTCACAGAAATTTTAACCATTATTGCAGCATCCAGAGGTCATAAATGATTTAATCTCGCTCGACAGTCACCCTCTCACCCGTTTTATCAGGCTTGTAGACAGCATGATCAAATAAATGCCGTTTCATGAGAGCCTTGTGTTCGGTGCCGGTTCGTTTCTTGTGCACCCCTGCAATATTTGTCGTGTTAAGCAGCGAAGCTCGCGTTGTGACGAAAGAAACGAATGTGGCGAATATTGATTCCAGAATGCCCCGCTAGAGCATGCTTCTTTACCATACCTTGTTTCTTGCTCGTGAATTGATAAACATTAAGCCATTTGTTTCAAGGCGTAAGAAAGAGGGGATCCTAATAACTTTTAGACTTCCTCGTGCTGAAAGCTGTGAGGTATGCAACAGGAACGAATGTTAGCTTTTTTTTAAATGCGAAGCATTTACTAGTAAATGAAAGGCATTTTGACCGTTTCAATATATCTAGGCATCTATCTACGTTCAGCTGGGTGCTTTCGTTGTGGTCTCTTTAAATTGGAATACACGAAAGCCTGTCGTGTATTTCACGTGTGGCACATACTCGCGTACGCGTTGAGCAGTAGTGTAACTTACAGTTCATAATAATCGAGGAAAGGCAAGAACGAACATTCACAAAAAGTAACGCGAGAGTGTCAAGAAGCCATTGTCGCAAAAAATCTCGTGTCGGCTTCGGCGGCATTGCCGTTAAGTGAAAAATCCCCATGATTGAAAAGAAGGGACATCGGGACTTGTACTGAAATCGAACGCAGACATTCTTCATGGCAGTCAAACATTCTCTTACCAAACCATGACTGGTCTTGTCAGACTGGTCCTTCCAGAGAAATGGCAACTGTTGCTGCACTGTTGCTTATTTATCTGTTTAGGAATGTAATAAATATGGTTGCTTATTTACCTGTTTAGCAATGTAATAAATATGACGTGGGTATCCGTCCATTATACGATCGTCGAAATTCAACCACTTGTTCTGGAAATGTCAGTGCAGCCCTCTCGTGTTACTACAGTTTCACCCTCGTCGTAAAGTGCCAGTTCCACCACCAGTTTAGAATGTTTTGGTTAACTCGACCACTTCCCAGAGTTCAACTTGCACTTGTGAACATTCCAAATGAACTGCCCCTTCTGAACGTTCAGCTTCAGCCCCATGGTCTGAGCGCTTCCAGTCATCTTTCTCACCTGAAGATTCTCGTTCCATCGCCTTTTTTTTAATGTTTCACCTGAAGCTGTTCGTGGAAGAGTTCGCGTTCCACGAGGGCTTCTGTATTTTCCGTTGATGTTCATCTGCCGAAGTCGTGAACCCTACTCGGTCTCCAGAACGTTTTCGCTTTACGCCTGGTCACTGAACGATTTTAGCGCCTTAATCAGCGTAAGCTTGTTTCTCCGAGCTAACGCGGTAGGGAGCACCCATTTGTTTGCAAGGCATGTTGCAATACCCACAAGGCAGTTTTCCTGTACTGTCAAAACTCATGCACAATGATGGTGAGGCCCTACCAGCGCGGCAGTTGCTGTGTGGTGTGTAACGTTTTGAGTAGTCCTCCGATGTGACTACGTCGCTTCTAATAATGCCTGTGTTCTTGATGAAATTATTGGCAAATTGTTGCCAAGAAGAATAGTATACGAAGTGTGTTGAACTACTGCCGCACAAAGTTTCAAACATAGGTTTAGCAGCCATTCGCAGCCGTGAAACTTGTGTGCACCAGCATGCGCCTACCATTGCAGTGATGTGCGACTTTACTAACACATCGCATTAAGTTTGTCTGCGCGAAAGGGCCATTGTCACGCCACTCTTTTATTCTGTTCGAGAAGTGAAAAAATGTCTAGCAGTAATACCATGACGTTGTATCGTATAAAGCGTTATCCAGTGTTGTGAACCGTATTTCCTTTCACAATCTGGAATGAAATATTTTTGGAATGGTCATACTTTGCTTGGTTATAGCTTTACAGTTGCGTGAATTATGAAGAAAAAGTGCGTTGCATGCCCTACACACTCCTCCCATATCTTTGAATAACATTTTTTGAAAGTTTACGAGCGCTGAATTTTCCGACACGTGGCAGTACCATTCTTGAACTAAATGCATCCTTATTTAGGCGATAAAACTACGAAATAGATGAGTCACGCCACATTCGATGTTTCTGGTGTTCCTGTAACTCTGGGTTCTTGACGTGCAGTAAACTTTAGTGCGTGGGCGTTTTCGTCCCTTTGAAATGTAACCTGAGTGGCACGCTTGAGATAAGCAGTGAAATGTCATAACCTCTGAGCCGTGTTGATCGTTGCTACGTGCATTACATTACGTTACAGTTTCGGGGGTTGTATGGGGGCTTGGTCAGAGAACTTGTCGCTCATAGTTATATATAGCGCACAGTATGTCTGGCACGCATGCGGCTTTTGTTTCGTCTCGGTTCTACCGGTATTTTGCGATGACTGGGCAATCGATTTTTCCTTGCTTTTTTCGGGGTCGAATTCTCGACTCTTGTAACTACGCTAAGCTGCTGAGAACTGTACCACTGGAGTGTTAGGGACCAGATTATTTAGCCTAGACTGAGTTAGAAGTTTATCCTAATGCTAGTGACTCCATTAACACTGCTCTCAGATCCGCATACCTAAGCATGGTGTTCTTTTATTTGTGCATTGGCAAGAAAATTTAATGCAAAATGCCCGTTCGTACACAAGTAGTTTATTATTTTTTAAGTTTTTAACAGTTTTTCATACCCGCAGGTCGCGGGATCGAATCCCGGCTGCGGCGGCTGCATTTCCGATGGAGGCAAAAATGTTGTAGGCCCGTGTGCTCAAATTTGGGTGCACCTTAAAAAAACCCAGGCGGTCGAAATTTCCGGAGCCCTTCGCTACGGTGTCTCTAATAATCATATGGTGCTTTTGGGACGCTAAACCCCACATTTAAATCAAATGAACTGTTTTTCATACGCCATGAATTCAACAAGTGAATGCGTCATGCCTCTAGGTGTTTCACTTTAAATTGAGCCAGAAGGGTTTACGCAAACCTGTTCTTTAGATGTATAACTTGTTCATGGCATATTCGTTCAGGCTTCAGTTAGTTCCAAGGTTACTGTTAACTTTCGCATGCGGCACCTTTCTTCACCCAAATATGCTGTGAATACCCATGGTCATGCTGCTACGAGGGATGCTGGTGGTTTTAGCGTCCTGATTCTGTTCTTAGCTGAGCGTGTAGACGGGATTGTGCTGGTCATGTCACGGAAGACGGCCTTTCTGCCTACAAAGATGGCATGAAACAAAGCCAACGGACGACATACTGAAAGATTAACTGACAGCAACAATTCATCATATGAATAGTTAACCATCTCGCTGAATAAAAAAAGTAGTGCCATTCCTACGTTATCATACTGTCCCACGTCTAATGAATATTGCAGTGCCTGAAAATTCAAATTAACGTTGATTTCTGGGACTTTTTTTGTGTGTGCTAGCAATTGATTATCTACCGCACATACTTGGCGCAACTGTCATGAATGCACGGCTCCTAAAATTTACCTCATCGCCATTGTTTGCTACCAAACCTGGAAGTTCTAGTTAAGAAGTGTGATTAAGTATTTCCCTGGAACGAAACATGTGCAGCACAATATGTTTGCTTCTTATAACGCCAGGGAGCATACTTGCACTTGTCGCAAATGTTAGAAAAACTCAGTTGAAAAATAAGTCAGTGAGCTACCGTGAAAGCAGTATTCAAACAGCAGATTATCCTGAATGCTCCATCTATGCAGTGAAGGCTGTTGGACCTGCTGTCCAGCTTCGGCGACGATGCCGCTTTTGGGTACCGTATGCTTTCAAACAAAAGGGCGGCTAGTGGTCTCATCGCTTGCTCATTCTAAACCCAGAGGCTGTCGGTAACGTCAGTGTTCAACACGTGCTGTCATGTACTTGTGCTCTGTACTGCTGGCCCTTCCTTTCGGCCACCTATGTTCTAAACTTCACTTTTATTCGCCTCTGACCAGTGAATGAGAGCACTAGCTTTGAAACGCAGAGCCCGACGAATGGTGCATTGGAGAATGGCAAGTTGCGAATGACGACTATACCTTTTACAAGTTAAGGAGATCATTTCATGTGATTACATTAAAGAGCATGTTTTGCACGTTGTCCGTAGACACAAAACGAAGAAAAATTCAAATAAAATGGAATATAAAAGTTTTCCACTTGAGTGAAAATACATTCCTGGCATTTGTGTGAAAAAACGTGTTGGATAAAAAATAAAATTAAGCTTCACAGCAAACGCAAAACGATGATTACAGATAGCAACAGATTGAAGTTAACGAGGAGAACGGCAAGCAGCTAGAAACATGCCTTTAGCTGCTGAAGGACGAAAGAAGGGACACACACAAAGACAACCATGAACTAACAATTGTCGCAGCTTGACGCTGAAAGCGCGCATTTCGTACAGGCGGAAGTATGTTTGAAGCGAGTGTACAGGGATATACAGGACGAGCGCCAACAAGTGTCACAGTTGTTACTTGTTGCTTCAGGAGCCGGTCCTTTCTCAAACACGGCCGCGGCCGCGAGCGAAGCGACCTTCGTACACTCTGTAACTTCGACTTTGCAGTGAAAGCCCAAGAAGTACACGCTGCCGCCACCCCGAGATAAGCGTGCGCGCACGAACGACCACGCCCTCTAGGCCACCGTATAGATGGTAGAGGTAGCAGACGCGCGCGCTTCGCAACAGGCGGGAGTGACGGCCTTTAAGCCTTCGCGCGAACTCTCTGGTGATGAAGAGACGATGCTGAAACGTTTCCGAGTTCTGTGTGCTGTCAGAGGTAAATGGTGTATATAATTAGCTCATCGTTTATTTGCTGAACGACTACTACCCGTGGCGGAGTTGTTTAAAGCTGCACACTGCGGAGTTAAGTAAGTCGCACGTTTGCATTGACGCTTCGAGAAATTTTTTTTTTTGAAAGAATGTTCTTTGTGCTTATATGGACAGGATGGTAGTAGGTGACGCAAAGACTAACACAGAGTTTCCATATAGTTGGAATGCAATAAAAAACAAGATATAAGCCAGCAATATAGCTATTGGCAAACACAAAATTAAGCCCGTCATTACAGAAGCAGTTGAATGTTTAATGTAAAATAAAAGCTGGTAAAATGCCTCTACCATTATTATCTCTATCATGGTATATAAACAAATGAAGGAATAAAGACACCCAATCACGAAAATTCACCTCAGAGATTCAGAGACACTACATGCATAGTCTGAAGTTTAACGCACGACGCCGGGTGCATGCTTTATGAGTGCGGTTAGAACAAATATAACGATATTACGCCTGAATGCCAGTGCTTTTACATGCTGTAAATATTGATACAGTGTGGATCCTTATCCTTTAATGCAATCACACGCATGGCATGTTAACTAAAAACTGCATTTTTGCGTTGTTTGTTTTCTTGCGCACACGATTGCTTCAGGATGCCTTCACCAATAATGGCGTCATTTTTGAACGCACAATCATCATAGAGTTGCTCAATTCAACCCGAGGACTGCGAACACCCTTACTAACGCGATTTAACACGAAATCAGCACTGAAGTTTTTATAAACTTACCTTATCGCTTATCGTGTCCATCTCACTGCCTCGACCACCCTACAAATAGGCAAGATTTGTTTATCTGAACCGTGCATGAGTGATACCACGTACAGCCAAGCAAAATATGTGTGAGCTGCGCACAAGCGATATGCAGGTCGTACTATCCCGGAGGCTGGTAGCCTTCATATGGTAGTTTATTGTGCAAAACTTCGCATGGCGTGCATAAGGAATCTCTGTGTGTGCTGCTGCGGTTGTTGGCATGCACTGTGTGCGGTCGATTTCGGATTTCTCTGGCGAGCGTCCCGTTATGGGGACATCTGTTCCATCCAATCTTCCGGAGGCCCCAGTTCTTCTGCTATTACCCTGTTCCCCAGTTCCCCTCGCTTATCCAGGAGTTTCACGTCCACCACCTGTTCCGAATCATCCTGTTCTACCACCGATTCTGAAGGTTCCAGCGATTCGGAACCTTCCAGAACCACCACTCCGGCTGAACTTCTAGGCTTCTTCGCATCTCCTGAACCTTCCAGGCCCTTCCTTCGATGCTTCGCAGTACTTGGTGCCTCCCTTCACGGTAAGTTACTCTCCTTGTACTGACTATGTAACGAATGTGAAGAGCGCAAGTGTCCTCTGTAAAAGCGCATCTTGTGAAGCCTGCAGTGCTGCTTTCCTGCACGGTGAAATTCGCTACCCCGTGACGGTACAAATCGTCTTCCCGGTCATCGTTAGGCGCAGAGTAGCGTTTAATGCATTCGATTAGGCTTATTGTCGGTTCTGCTAGATCCTGAGCTGAATTTTCGAAGCTGCTCGCCGAAGCATATCTAGATATGTAAAGTGCACACTTTTATAATTGGAAAGACACAAAGTTACTTTCAGCAGTCGCCTGCCTGAGCTTAACTTGTATGTGCTAGTATAGCTATGCAGTGTACCTAACCATTGCATTGATGTGCTGGAACACAACTATGTACACATTATTACTGCGTAGAAAAGTCTACTGAAAGTCATGGAAGTAATATATTTTGTACTATGTATTACAGGAAATAGGAAATATTTGAGTCACATTGGTCTCTCTTCTCATTGACTTAAGTGTATTGGGGCAGGCCGTGTGTTTTTTTTTCACTATTCGGCAGTTGCATTGAATAATAAAGCGTGCGGTGGCTGCTACTGCTGCGTTACCATTAAGTTGTATGCATCGTTTACGCGCAGTGAGTGCCTTGGAAACTTGCTCTTCAATTCACGTTATCTAGACACTGCTGACAGCCGTAAAGTAAGACTTTACCACATTCAACGCTATGATGTGAGCGGACTGCACGAGGAACCTGCTTCATAACAGTCGCACTCTTCGCATTTCACCATCTTCCCTTTTTAGCTGGATCTTCCATGCAACAAAAATCGCTCATTGAACTCGCTGGCCTGTTTCTATTTTCGGTTTTCCGTTCGATAGGATCAATTATAAACTTGGTTATCTGTTGTCTTCACGGAAGATAACATTATTGCTGGGAAAATTCACTTAAGCTGGTGCTTAGCAAAGTTGGATTGCATCGATTTTTGAAGTCGCACAAAGTTTATTAATGAAATCGTCGGACTGCATTTGTCAGCCGATAAGAAGTACGCAAACACAAACAACTGTTATATTAGTAGTTCAATGAAATGTTTGCAGCTGTGTTTATACTGGTGTCAGATTAAAGTACTGCTAAGTATCGCTCTTTAACGCATACACTAGCAATAAAACTTTCTGCGAAATTTCGTCTGCTCATTATTTTTTTTCAATCATTATAATTTATTGAGACAAAACGTGATAAGCCTGACAGGTGGCTTCATGAGCCAACTAGAATTCTGCGCTGTAGGCGACTTGCAGGGACGTCTCTAAAACAGCAGCGACATGGTAGAACGTGAACTTTTTCACGTGGCGTTAATGTTTTCAGTACATTCGACGCTAACCTATGGCGGGTATTTGATACGCTTGAGCGACGTCACTATCACGATTAGGCAGGTTAATTATCGGGCAGAGACACTTACTTGACGTCATCGAAGCTGCCATATTAGAGTCATGCTGTGCGTTCATTACGCCACGTGGAAACTATCAGTATTTTGACAACGATCCTAACTCCCGAGAATCCTAATTGCCTTTGTCTTTTTTTACAGATATACTGCGCATATGCATGCTCATAATGCCACATGGAATGCGTGCCTTGTTGCCGTCCCGGCTCCGTTCATGGCTAAACATGTAAGGGGAACCCTGGCGGCAGTGTCTTTGAAGACGACGGCTGGCTACTGAATGGCGAAAAACAAGAAGCGAAATCCGGGTCATCACTCAAATGACGAAGTGTAGCTGTTCTTATTTGCATTTGGAAATTTGAGTAGTTCAAATTCCGCAATTACAATTTTACCCTACCTCCCTGCGAACCAGTCCTGTGGACCGTAGAATTAAATAAACGCCATTTTGTGTAAACTTTTACGTGAAGCACCACTTATTTGTCTATCTGGCTGCATCCATGCAGTAATACACATACACGTGAAAATAGCGTGTGTGAAAAAAAATATGTGACCATTTATATTTTATTAATACTGCTGATGTCGAAGTTACTGTATTTATTTCTTGCAAAAACAGTCTCGTGATGCATGACTTACTTTCCGTAGACCGAAATTTGCAGACCAAGAAGTGCAGGCGACCTTTGATTTAACACTGCGAGTCCAGTGGCATGAACGATCATGACCCCTTCCAAACACGTACTAGTCTTCAGAATTTGAACTAGAAAAAAGGCAAAACTCGAGAGAAACATCGAATAACTACTGAGGTGCTGTGGGGCACATTTTCTGCGTACATTCCATGGGCATGGGTACGGAAACTGTGTAGGGAATAGAATATGGTCTGCGTAGCTCGGAAAAGTAAGAGCTGATGGTACGTGAACACTGTTTGGTTGAAATGCGTAGCAGTATTTGGTGGTTGTCGTTAGTAGCGTTCACCAACTATCAGCCGCAACCTCCAGAAGCATTTCGGGCTCTCTCTTAGCAATTCTGAGAGATGATCACTTGGTTTGCACAAGGTGTCTGCCATGAGACTGCGAACTGCTGCAGTTCGACTTAGCCTACTTTCCCTATATCGGTGTTTTCGCGCATAAACATCAACATAAAAAAGTTTGAATCAAGTTTTAAAAAGTTTAAATTTTAAAGTTTAAGAGAGTTAGGGCGCACACAAAAAGATGTCTTCACAGCATCCGTACTATGAATAAGGTTTCACCATTTAGTGATCCAATCGACCGGACTGAGAAGTGTAGGCTGTGTGACATATGATAACAGTGACTTGCACTGCTAGCTTTACAATGTCTCGTAACATGTCGCAACGTGTGAAGATAAAATATATAAGGCTACTTTTTTTATTCCAAAGCACTACCATACTGAGCATTTTAATGGCTTGTGTGCCAGTCTAACATTTCATAATAAATGTCTTGGTATCGAAATGACGAGTGCACCCCTGCAACCATTTCACTAGTATGTGCGACCATGCGGATTGATATTTTCTGACAAAAGGTTGTAACGCTAATAGTTGACGATGGTTGAGCCTAAAGGGACACTAAATTCAAATAACAATCTACGTCAGAGTGAAACATCAATGTATGACAACATTTAAAACGACAATATTATCAATAACGGTGCCGTACTTACCGACAAATGAAAATAAATGCGCAAGAGCACAAGTGCTGCAGTAGGACACTTTCAAAATCATCATGATGACATCGGAAGGACCGCGTACAATTATTCACTAGTAATCGAACTGTACTAAATAAAAAACCTTCTGTACATCAAAAGACGCAATAAAATGCTCCCTGTTTGTTTCTGCTTGATTCAAGGAAAAAAAGAACCAACGGACGTCACTATAGGGACTGCCGCGCGTTGTTTAAAAATTCAATTTTCGCGTGGTTACACAAGACAGGTAGTACCATCTAGCGGAGCTCAGTTGAAACAAAAAAAATGCCTGCATCTTGAAGCCAATGGCGGGAAATTTATCAATGGCCGTTGTTGCTGCTGTCATTCCCGCTGCTTTTGGTCTGCCGCTACTAGCCCAGTAAAGCCGGGCAACGTTGAGCACGGCAATAGTTACGTGATTCCGGTCAGTCCGCTTCTAGATGCGGGTCATTTGAAGTGCGTTAGCCCAATGCGGATCACTAAAACACGATTTCGTTTAAAAATAGGCCCTTTCTTAGCACAAAGGAAACACAACCAGGTTTCTGGACCGCTATTTCAAGATTGAACGTCGACTTATTAGCTGCCTTTAGCTTCCTCTTAAACCCCCAAAAGAAGTATACTTATCTGAAAAAAAAGCCATATTAGAGGCCATCATTGAATTGCAAAGAAATAAAAGCTGCGCAGGTCTGACACTCAACTGATGTTTTAACGTGAGTCTTAGATTGATCATCAAATGGGACATTTGACGGTGGAGACGGTACCACGATCAATTCTCCCGGTTTGTCACAGGAATATATATATATATATATATATATATATATATATATATATATATATATATATATTTATATTTCCGTGTGACATATATCAGGGATATATATATTCGAATATATAACTTCCATGGGACATATATCAGGGATATATATTCGAATATATAACTCTCGTGGACATATATCAGGGATATATATTCGAATATATAACTCCCGTGGGACATATATCAGGGATATATATTCGAATATATAACTCTCGTGGACATATATCAGGGATATATATTCGAATATATAACTCCCGTGGGACATATATCCCGTGTCGGGACATATATCTCGCGGGATTGGAGACGAGCGATGCAAAAAATCCTCATGTAATGAAGTCAACATATTACACCATTATGACGTTACAGATGCTGAAAATTTGGAACGCCATCAATGCGCCACATATGTTGGCATATCGCCATATGATTTCATTGCATCGCCCTTCTTTGGGTGGCGAAAAAAACTGGTTAGCGTGTGACCTCTGAAGATGAAAATGAAGATGGCGCTTGACAATGGCACGTGAAGCTGCGGCCCGAGTGACCTGCTTTCTCATACATTAAGTGAGAGAAACAGTATGGTGCCTTTTACATTTTAGTCGTCTCAGGTGAACGCACAGTGGATCCTGGTAGGTATTTTGTTTCGATTGTTGGTAGCTTTCACTAAACTTTCTTAGGTATTTACGTGCAACTGACCGAATTGCTGGAAAAACGTAACAATCACAGCTAAACTTCAGCTGTTGGGCTAGTTTGTCTCTATTTGAATCAAAATAAGACCACACAGAAAAGTACACTTAGTGAAATGGGCAAAACGCGTTTGTTTGTCATATTCTAGGTCGCTGTCATTCTTTACTTGCATGAAAATTTCACCATAAATAACTTACATATGTAATTGTATGATAAAGCAATGTTTGTGAATAATAAGTTTTGTTGTTTTATTTCCCATTAAATCTGCCCGCAAGGCGCCACACATTTCTGCCGCCATCATAGATTTGGCTTTTTTTCTCGTTTAATGAAGCAGATGCAAAGGTTGGTGGCAAAACTAATACGACAGAAAAAAAAACACAAGGAAACAAAGGGGGGGAATATCAGTGCTACTTCAACGCATAAGGTCGCGCAGAAAAGTTGTGACTTAGCATAGATTGTCATTGCGTATTTCTGCTGAAAACTATGAACGTACAGTATCGCGAGCTTGAAAACAGGTAAACCGAAGCTGTATTAGAATGGCCGTGAACCAAACGTAAGGAAACTTCGTGGTAACATGACAGGTACTATTACAAGCGAAATGAAAAGTAAAGGAATGTCAAGTTGAGAGGCGCTATACTCACACTTTGTGGGCACCTTTTCAGCAGTGACAAAAAACGAGTAATAAAATAATGTTTCGGGATACCTTCATATGGTGACGTGGTAATAATACCTCCTAGGTTTGTGCATCTATACACAAAACCAAGAGTTCAATTACAATCTACAGTTTCGCATTGAAAGGTGCGTACAAAAGAACTGCAGTAGCGCGAACTGATCGTGACCACTACGACACAGCTCGCAATCTGGCATGTTAAGCGTTGCACATGTGCCACGGTACGAATCAAGAAAACGATACAATGTTAACGTCATAAGTTTTTACGTCGGCGTGTGCTTTGAGTCTGTAATGCGGTGAACAATGAAATAGGAATCGGTCAGCAATACAAAATATTGTCGACAGCAAGGCCTTTGTACATATCGTGCAGTATATTTGTCTACAAAGTCCTGCCATTTCCAACAAAGAAAGGTCGAGCATTATAGGAAAAGTGCAAGCGGCTGTCTTTTAAACAAGATCGGCGATTGAAAATACCTATAGTGTGCGTACACCACCAGAGTACCATTGCTTACAGAAGTATGCTTCGAAGCTAGCCACCGTCACAACGCTCGATGTAAGTTAATCGTAGCAGCATTCCATATTTTCATGTATTTTAGGAGTATGAAGAAGAACGAAACGCAAGAGTGTAACTTGTCGTAATATTGTAATGCAGGAAACAAGGAGAGAGGCAATCTGGTGAGATGGAGTGCCGACCACCGGTTTCCGGCCATTTACTCTATTTTGTTGCTCCTCATTCTAAGTAAACCTATCACATTTGTAACAAAGTTTTAGAAATGTGCAAATATAAGTCGTAATTTTAAGCAGCACTGTGTTCATCCATCTACAATGCTGCAACTATCCCAGTACCACCACAGTACCACCAGAGGCAAGGTAGGTGACGTGTGAAAAGTTTTTATCAAAGGCAACATCACACGAAGAAGTGTCTCATTGTTGCTAGCAATGGAAATACTGTAATCGTAACGCTTACTAGATTTATTTACACATCCCCCTTTACTTAGGTACACTTTATAAAAGGCGGCTTTCAAAGCGATAGTATCTTATTGAAGTGAGAATTGCTATACGAGAGCACCAAATTCACATCACCCCAATTTAAGACAGTCTTAGGCAAATCGCATTCACACACGGCAGAGATTGCTTCGCGTCGTTCTCTGTACGGTCACCTCAGTCTGGTTTCACAGTGGCTTCACCGATGGACTCCCGCCTGAAGTTGAAGACACGTCTTCAGTCTCGCCTTCACTGCTGAAACCCTGAAATTACAATATTAGAAACATACTAATAGGGCCTATGTCATTCTTCGAGGAAATATCTATATATAGACTGCGAAGACAGGGGCACTCCAAATAATAACCTCACTCAATGTATTGTGCCTTTCCTTTCTTTAAACGCCAAGTGCTCGGTGCTTTCAGGTGACAAACTACATGTGCTCTATCGTCAGGACGGGCCATCCTTCAAAGAAATATGGTCTAGGCCGAGTTCTCACACTGAGAAGTGTGAGCAAGCTATGTGAAGATCACTTGTGAGGTACCAAGAGGGCACTCAATGAGGGCAACTGTTTTTAGAGAGCAATCTTATAACTATACAAAGTGGTGGTGCATGAGCAATTCGCTACCTAAACCATTAATTATGATAAGACTATACTTTGGCCCTCATAGCTGATTGGTTGGTAGTTTCTTAATGTTCTGCACGGGAAGCTTTGACACATATACGTTTCCTAAGCGTCTGAAAGTATTACGGTGATCATGCGAGAATTACAAGTTCTTTGTACTATTTCGCTCCAGAACCTTAGTACACATACCGTTGTATCCAAAAGCCAGGAATTGCGGTGAAGACCGATAATTCAACAGATAATAAAAATAGCTGAATAAAGAATGTCAATACAGTGAAATTTTTGGGCAAGGGGAATATATCTATCAAAGTGATGAATCCAGCGACATATACTGTTTAACAACGTTGTTTATCACTTCATTTGCGTTGGAGTATATTATGATTAACTCACAGCATTACCTTGAGCGATGGTTCATCATGCCCTATAGTTACAGAGAAGAGCCAGTAGGCCTACCAAAAGTTTTGCAGCCTGCATTTTTTTTATTTATTTTATATGACGTTCATACTAATCATCTATACCCAAACGAAGACATTAGATGTGGTTCCCTTTTTCTGAATATGCCATCGAACCTGCGCCTTTTGCAATTCCTATTAAGCATTACATGATGGATTGAACGAATTCATGAAATAATGTTAACGAGGGTGATATCGCGGTAGAAATCATTCGGTAGAATCAAAAGACTTTATATACGAACATTTCAGCTCCATGCGTTCATACAAACACACAAATGGACACAAAATTCTATGTTCGCAAATGACAGCGATTGGTTACTATGTGAAGCCTTCATTTTTGTAAGGAGAGTTCTAGTAACTTTTTTTTAATTAGCCCGGTGTACTGTTAGTAGCTGCATTGCTAAACGTCATAGAAAAACGATTGATTCGGATACTGTTGTTGAAATATAGCACTGGATTCACATACCTCCAGTTCTTGCAACACTTGATCGATAAAATCAGTGGGATCCTTTCGATACCTGTATGCGGCCGAAATGGCATCTCGAAACATCTGCAGAAAAATGAAAAGCGCGTTGCGATAGTGCTAAAATAACAACGAATAAGCCGATGTTCAAGGAAATGAAGGCGTTAAAGAACCCCAGGTGGTCAAAATTTCTGGAGCCCTCCACTACGGCGCCTTTAATATTCATATGGTGGTTATAGGACATTAAACCCCACATAGCAATCAATCAATCAAGGAAATAAAACAACACGTGTGCCATGTTAACAAGAAATGACGGATGCAACGAAGACGTATTGCTGCAACACTACAGCAGCATAAAATATTAACTAACTGTGGAGCGGCAAAGTATAGCAGCACGTAAAATTACTTTAATCACCTGAAAACCACTACCACACTGAATGATGCGTTATTTATTCTTGTTTTCCTCCCTCTGCCAGGTATACCATAACGTATTTATAGAGCGTATTATCATCTTCCATAATGCCATGCAAGCTTGCCGGGCGAGAAATATGAAGAAAAGAATTCAAGGTTAAAATTTCCTATTGCCGAATCCGACATACACACTACCAGTAAAAATACTATGACGGTCAAGGCCCATAGAATGCTCACAATGTGGTTTTAAACCTACACATCATTCTCTTAAATTGCTACTGGTTATCCTTTCTCCTTGAAAAAAGGGAAGTATATTTGCAATGGTACAGTGAAAGTTCAGGGAAACTTTCTAAGAATAGTCTCGTGAATGACTCCTTAGAGGCTTCCTATCACATGACTGATGATGATGTAATCAAAGAATTTCCATCGTGCCTAAAACGCATCCACGTAGATCTTCCGACTTACTTTGACGACGTTTGTGCCGTCAGAAGCGGACACGAAGTAGAAAGGCATTCCGTTTTTCTTTCCAAAGTTGAAGCTCTTTTGCACGACAGTGCTGTCAGCTGTAAGAGAAACAACGTTGGATCGTAAAACTACATTGACGCTACCACAGGCATGCGCACACGACTCTTGAGTACAGAGTACTGCTCGTTGTGCTTTCTACGTGAATTGCAAAAGCGTAACACAACAAAAAAATATTGCATGGTCATTCAGCTATAAGCAAATTGTGACGAGTGGAATGCAAAACTGTGCTGTGATCTCAAAATATCATTATCTTGAGGTATCTTTCTCCAAATGGTAGCCAAAAAGTGGTCAGTAAATAATCCTGCATGCTGTCGATCCTAATCTTGAGAACCAATCAGATCTTCAGAGCCCAAGACTTATCAACAACCTCACACATCGCCTAAGACTCAGAACTTCTTGCACTAAGCACTTCATATTTTGGATTCAGCGTGCAAAATTGTGAGCATGTTCGTGTGGTAATGGCGACGTGGATATATATCACGTGTTGTTCGACTGTCTGAAAAACGACGCACAGAAGGTCACTCGAACTGGAACTCTGGTGTCCGTGCAAACTTTTACGTCGAATAAAATACTAAGCACATGACCATCTAAGATAAATCGCAAAGTGTTGCAACGTTTTTGCAACGAAGGTGCTGCAACGTTTTTTGAAGACAGAAAGATCTGTGATCAACAGTGAGTGAACTATGTTTAAAATACATAGTCCACTCACAACAGTGAGTGGACTATGTTTAAACATTAACCTAGTCCACAGTGAGGAGACAATGTTAAAGTTTAATGGTGACGTTGTTGACCAGTGTTATTCCTGCAATATATGTACCGCGTTTAAACTACGTGGACGTAAAATAAATATTGAGTACTTTTATAGTCATTAGGAATAAGCTATTAAACCGCCGCTTCCCCCTCCAAGCAAACGCAATAATGGCTCAGGCGTCTCGTATCACTAAGTTTTCGCAGTCTACAAAGCTGAAACACTTTTTATCGCAAAAAGGAGAAGGAGGAGGTTGTCGCAAGTTCTGCACTGTGGTAACGGAAAAAATTTACGTAAGATTTTCTCACCGTCAATTTTATTCGCTACACAAAGGCAAGGTATGGCGGGCCTGTGCTCTCTAAGCTCCTTGTACCAGTTCGAAAGGTTCTTGTATGTGATCTTCCTCGTGATGTCGAATACCTGTTGAATGAAATGAAATAGCAGCTCTGTAGATTCACATCTTCACACAGTTCTGCTGATCCAAGAAGCTCGAGTCTGCTAAAATTTCATGTGGACCAAGGGGAGTTGAGTATGTGAGAATGCATGCTGCTTGCGCACATATTGTATCCTTCGTGTAATTTTAATCATAAGAAACCCCCAGGTAGGAGCATTTAGCAAATTTCACATGAACAATACAAACTTATGTTAAATTTGAAAAATATTTTGTTTTTGCGACGCAAAGCTACAGTGAGAGTACCTGTCTAGTCACCTAGGTGTTTTGTGCTCACCCGTAAAGCGCACACTAATACTCTATCTACAAACATGGCGCTGGTACATTGCTTTTTTTAGTTTGGATATTCATTTCTTTTTGTGATACAATGCTTGGCAGGAGCTGACGAAAGAGCATCTGTTATCGCACAAGTGGCGTGAGCTGTTAGAACGTTGAATGATGGGTTTTAGGTGATCTTGACGGCGCAGAAATCTAGATGTTCAAAGAAATCCTTTGGTACGCACCCAGGAAATTAGATTTTATCCAAATATTAAAAGTGCAGCGTTGTTGGGGGGGGGGGGGCGTAAGAGCACTTTAGGGGGCCGGACTGTCGTGTGCTGTCATGTCTTGGCGTAACGCAGGCAGGCCCACGACTAGCGTAGCCATGTGTGGCATATTAAGCGCTCACTCACACCTAGAACTCCCCTTTATTTTGTCCTTCGAGCACATTCGTGGTGATAAGAGCGGAGGAGCACCTACGGGCCCCGGTCTAAGTGCACTGTTGTCGCTTGATGGAATGCATGGATAAAGACGTACACAAATAAAAAAACAAGGAACAAAAGAAAAAAAGGAACAGACAGAAAGCAAAGGAAGAAGTTTGAAGAAATACAAAACGCAAGAAAAAGAATGAAATAATAAAGACAGGGGAAAAATAAATAAAAAAGAGGCAAGAAACGCAAAAAATTCACAAGAAAAAAAGCACGAAAGAAATGGGGAAAACAGAGAAAATAACATTCAAAAGTTACGAAAAAAAAGGGTGCCCAGCCCCACACTGTCTTTGGAATTGGCAGCCCTAGCTCAAAGTTGCGTGATTTTCTTTATTAGTATCTCACAGTGTGCAAACTTTTAGTGGAGAGATCTCGCCAAATATAACTGTGTAGTTTTCGAGTTATGAAGTTTTAGAACCCATTAAGCTGGATTTCGTTGTAGCTATTGCATATGTAATGTGTACCACAAGCGTTTCCAATCACTAACTGGCATAGCTGCTTCGAACTGTCACGTGTGTCCAGTTCTGCCTCAAGTAGCCTGAGAGCCACCCAGAAGGCTTAGATGAGACAGTAAAGTGCTCAAAAAAACAGGTGGACAGCTCAAAAGGGCATCTCACTGCAATAATTGTTAAGATTGGGAAGCTACGAAAACCACATGTTCCTACGCTGCTATTGTAGCTGAGTTTGTAAGGCGAGAAATTTGTTCGTGCACGTGGCGAGAAACTCGATTGACGAATGCTACCACAGAGACATTGGGTAATCAACTTTAGAAGTAATGTCAAGGTTTCGCGACTATTCCCAACGTGCCGAATTGCATCGGTATCTCTTTGGTGATTTCAACGTCTTCATTATTGTTGTGTCATATTAATACCCTATGGAGCGTTAATGCACTCACTAAGCGCGTGTATTTTTTTTTAGGTGCTGGGGAACAGGTGTGTTATGCAGGCCCCAATTCTAAAAAAATGGTTTTGAGCTGTTCAAGCGGATACCACGAGCGACAAAGCACTATTTAAAATGAAAGTGCGTCATATAATACCAATCTACAGATGACATTTGTGTTGGCACCAGAACTAAAAAAAAATTTGAAGCCCGCGCGTATTTGAAGTCACGTTTTCTTGCATAGCAATGCAGCCACATTGTCTGTAGGCCCATTCTCGGATACCTAGTGACAACACTTTCTCCCGGCATATTTGGATAAAGATACGATACATTTCTAAATGAGATTCAGAGATTCTCATTGCACTGTATTCTGTTTTGGATAAAATTTCATGTGGGCACCGAGAGAATGCTTTGCAGTGCAAGATACCTGACTGGCGACACTTAGTACGTCACAGAAATTGTGGGTACGTCACGAAGATTAAACGTAGACTTGCCAGAATGCAGGCGTCCGCGTGGTGGTAATAGGAAGGGTGCAGTGTCTTGAACCTCTCTTGGCCTGCAGTGTCCCAAAAATCTGAAACACACGTGACGTTTATTTCGTTTCCCTTGAACAATACACTTGAGATCTACGTTTAGCTAAGAAGGGTAAAATAATCTACAGCTACAATATGCAGTAGTAAAACATTAGACGTGTACTATGAAAGAAACATGGTGATGGCATATACATCTCTCGTTGAAGACGAAACAATTGCATCTATTCTAGAAAGAATGATGGCGAAGGTCACCGACCGCTAAAGAACAACGAACATTCTCATTTTTTACGATTAACAAGGCCTCTGAATTCTACATATATACAAATACATTCATGATAATTGCTTACATACCAACAATAACAGGTTCGCCATCGACTTTCGTCTTGTGCCGTAACAGCGTAAGTGCGTAGGTTGACGCTTGGTGAGGCTTGCTGAAAACGCAAGCATTGGGATGGTGTTGTTAAGGACGCAATGACCACTTGATAAAGTGTATTTGCCACGTTATATGGCAAGCAGTATTGAGTCAGGATATGGTAACGAAAAAAAGGATACTAGGCATCCAGGAGGAATCGCTCCACGAGCCTGCATCAAACAGAAAGGATACGCAGATAACATCTTGTTATTATTAAGATGGTAATAATTACTATTAATTAAGGTGACAATAATAAATATTAAGATGCTAGTAATTATTAAGCTGTTAAAATTGTTAATAAACTTGACTACTGTGTGAATACAATGTAAATTCAGTGGTGCCGCTAAGAGTATTGGAGGCATTGACGAAGTCATGCTATTCATACAAACTGAATGGTCTCTAAAGATGAACGCACAATGTGGGATCCTTGTCCGCATGCCGAAACGTTGGCTTCTATATCATTTCTTTCTGGATGGCATATCATTGACAAAATAGATAGTTAAGCACATGGTGACGCATACGAGAGCACCCTAACAAATTTCGTTTATTGGAGGGGTACACCATTACAATGTCCCTGAAACGAGTATTAATTACCTATTTGTCCACAAAGCCCACTTTTAGGGCATATTCAATGGCATGAAGCAAAAAAGAATCTTGTGGGCATTTCAGCGAAACCTAACCGAAAAAAAAAAACACTTTTTCTGATACAGAGGTCTAGTCAACAGCATCTTGGTGCCACTTGGCGTTATGTGGTGATGTACAATCGGAAATGTCTTTCTACCTACCAGACTTATCGGGCAAGTTCTACACAGAAAGCAGTCGCTTTTGGTATTGAATGGGCAATTTGCCTTGTTCGTCGTATAATTGTATGCTCCCCCCAATGTAGTGTTATTGAAATTCGGCCCTGAGGTTTTCGTTAATAGCTTTCTAATAAAAAGAGAACGAGACTCCTACAGGCGCGTATTGACTTACGAATCATTCTTACACTTCCTAAATCAAACGCGAATCGCATTGAATTCACACAATGACAACTGTTTGTCGAAATATATTGTATGGTATTCAACACTTTAATTAATATTTATTTGCTAGGCTGAAGCCTTACTCTATCATTGTAGGATCGGGTACGATAAAGGAATCACAGAAAAAAGTCACGAAATGGCAGTGCACGAACATGTCCAGGTGAAGAATCCTATTGTCCGATTAGGAAAAGAAAAAAAAATAACTAACGATTGAGCATCTGCATTATAGGTTCAGATGTTAACGTGTTTAATTGTAAAAATATAATTACGAAGGAACAATGAACTTAACAGTTTCTCTAACAAATAAGGCGGGAAGAGTTTGTGAGTAATGAAATATTGGGCTTTCAATATGACGTCACGTTGACAGAAATCTAAACACAAGACTAGAGAACTTAGTATCAGCCCAGAAATATCCGGCATATTTACCGGACATCAACAGGCTCCACACTGTATATCATTGTTATTAAAATGCGTCTGTAAGGTAAACAGACGGCAAGATGGCAAGTAGGGCCAGTTTGTTTACAATCATGTTTGAAATTCGGGCTGAAGCGCACCGAAAAAACGGACAAGAAGCAGACGGGAGACTCGTTTAACAATTAGCCGGGTAAATTCCCGGCTTACATATATACAGCTGCTTGCTAACGTGTGTACCCACCTTGATTGTTATTAAAACAGTAAGGTTGAAGTATAGCAAGACTGATAATTTTTTATGTACTGCGAAGAACTTTTGTTCTAGGTGTTGTAGGTGTTCGCAAAAACCACACAGTGCATATGCACCCCACTTCAGACCAGTAGTGTGTATACTGGTGCACACAAGGCACGTCGCCGGGTGTTTTTTTTTTTTTTTTGCCGGGTGGGTTGCGGACCTACATGTCTATTTGTTCGAAGTAAAGTTTTCGTATGGCAAAACCAAACAAAATCGCCCAGATTTATGCCTGACTGGACAAATTCCAAGAGGGGTTAGGCTTCCTTGCAACCCTTCCGTGCCTAAGTGCCTAGTGGACACTGCGGGCGTTGCGAGGTGAATCGACGTCGTTATTACGGGTAGGTTGGTTCGTTTATGAGACTACCCTGTGGATCCTGAGAAACGTGAATAGTGCGTAGTGGGCTCCTTCCACGCTGGCGCCAGCAACCGAAGCCCACGCGTTATATCATGCTTGTGCCTTCGGGCAGCCCAATGCTGATCCCCGTCGCTGGAGCTTCTGAAGGAGGAGTGACACTTGGATTGATGGGCGTGTGACAAGGACATTCCTACTCACATTTTGAAGTCGTTGTGGGTTTTCTGAAGAAACTCGTTGTGCGTATATATCACAAAGTTCATACAAACCCCACGATTGGCCATTAGTTTGCTAAAAATCAAGACAAGAACTGTGCGCTTGCACCTACACTAGAAAATCACCCTTCTCAGCAGCAGCATATGCACATAACACAAAAGAGGCAGTGGATCGCTCGTGTTATCTGCGGAAGCGCCAAAGAGAAAAAGATGAGCCGCAGGTGAGGTTTTCCGTTCGCTGCAGCTGAAAGACAACAAAAGTGCCACCGCAAATGTGCAGTATGTGAGTGTTGAAGAGAAAGGACAATGGCAGGCCGCTCCTGAGGTACAGCCTGCAGAAGCACAAATGAAAGAGTAGTGGTGATTAGCCAGTCCTCAAACGGAAAGCCGTGACAGAGAATTTACAGGCCAGCTACAAGGGGACAGACAACCTCTATGATTGTGCTCAGAATGCAGTGTGGTTATGAGTGTCTCGAGTCAAAGCGGCGCGCAGCGCAGAAACCGTCCATACCAGAGTTAATTCAACACAACCGTTTCATTCAGTAGCGGCGCTGGTGAGCTGCAAGAGTACTAAGTTAACCTACTCGAGAGCACCTGAATATTGCTGAATAATACCACAGCTTGCGCTCGGTCGGGTATGGGTCACAGCCGAGCTGGCGGGTGCCTAGGTGTCTCTGATTTGAGTAGGCTTTTATTCTCTCATATATCTTTTTCAAACTTTGTGCTGTGCTCTACCATACATGACTATGATTGCTTTCTTTTATTTGTCTTTTCTCGTTTGTCCCTATCTCCTTCTTTCTCTGAGTATTTGTGTCTTCGTATTTCTTTCTCTTCCTTTCTTACTTTCCGTATGTCTTTCATTATTCTTTTTTATAATTTTACTCTTTTCATGCATTTCTCTCTTTGTGTGTCTTAGTGTAGAGATTCTCTTGCCCTTTTCCTTTTTTTCCTTTATCTTGATTTGTTTCACGCTTTGTTTTTTTTTCTCTATGCCGTATTTTTTTTCTTTCTGTTTGTAGTTGTTCTTCCCTTCCCTTCACCCCAACTTCCCTTTCCCATCTGTTTGGTACACTTTGGAAGGCTATCCTATGCTTGCAGAGCAGGAAAAAAGTTACACCAATTCTCAGTAAACGGAACAATGAATAGCATGCGACGCCGCGCATGCTTAGTTTCGTTCATCACGGACACCTTGTACGGCGTTAACGCATCCTTGAAAGCGGAGCCCACCATGAAATCCCTGAAATTGTGTTGCTGTTACTTCCTCCCGAGCTCTCGTTGAACGCGAATAGACAAGCAGCGGCTGTAAATAGTGTGAAATTTCTGCATGCTTGCAGGCATGGATTCGAGTGAGCACACTACTGGCAGTGTAGCGAAAGGTTTCCAAGCATCGCACCTGCAATCACTTCTCCCCTTAAGAGAGCGGGAAGGTTCTTTTTTACTCTATACATTTTAGTCATGAGAGCCCTTCGCGTTTTGGTTGCGAGAATGTGTGCATGTACGAATTCTTTCATTTTTTTTTGCGTTGTTACCTTCAGCCTCCTGGAGATTAAGTGTCATCGTTCTATCGCAGACGAGGTAACGTACTCCATGAGAGGGCACTGGATCACTCTTCATTTCTCTAAAAAGAGTAGTTTCACGCTGAGAAAAGGAGTGGCAAGCGGGACGAGCGAATACTCTAGCAAGAGGTATCTGAGCACTCCCTTTGTTCGAAGATCGTTATAGTGCCGAAATAGCCAAATCATTCCAATGTTCGCCTTCAGGTCGTGGGAACGTGGGTTGGAACTTCATCACGCCGATCTTTCTTCCTATGTCTTATGCCTCTTGGTTTTCGTTCTCTTGCCCGTCAGATTTATTGCACCACACGCCGCAAATATTCGCGTGCGTGTTCTGAGAGCGAAGCAGAGAAGGATTAAGATCAAGAAAATAATGATGAGACCACGTGGGCCGTCATGGTCATGATAATTTTATATCACTGGTGCACTTGAAACTTTGAAAATAACAAATATGCTGTAGAAAGAAGCCTTACAGGTAAGGCACGCTCATGCCAGGCTTATCTTGACTCCGCTTGCCCGACAGAAGCAACGCTTTAAATTATTTTTGAACGTGCCCCTCTTTTTTCACCTAAAACGAGGAACGTTGTTACTGCTCCCTAAATCATGCTTAATATTGCCGTTTTGCCGCACCGAATTCTTTTCAGCAGCCTTCTTACTGAAAACAGCCGCCGATTGGAACCACCTTCCCTCTTCCGTTGTAACAATAACAGACCCTTTGTTATTCAAGACTGCAATTTCTCAGCAATGCTTGTAACTATACGCAGTTTCCATTATCTATCTTTGTCTTGTATGTGCTTGACTTCTTATACATTTTTAGTTGACTTATGTTGCCTTCCTGATTTGCGCATCTGACACTTGTTTCTTTATTTTGTCTTTTTTTTCTTGTGTGTTACAAATGTTGTACCTACCCCCTCTGTAATGCCCTACGGGTCCTGAGGGTATTCTAATAAATAAAAATAAATAAATAAATAAATATTAGGGCTGGAGTTGAGAATTCATCGATCCAGGTACCCCCGCCTATGCTGTCAGAAAACTTGTTTCTATAGCACCCTTACGAAATCAACGAGTGACCAGTCGATATTAAGCAGCAGATCGCTTAGATCGACGCCGACGGGAAGGGGAAGAACGAGTAAGATTGTTTTTCTGACTCGTGGTAATTATGTTACAAAAAGCAGGTCCAGTGGCCACCATCGCAACCGTTTGTCGTCACAACGCTATTTGAACATAATCGTGTACATGCGATTGTTATGCGCTGGCAACGAAGTCAAATCGCTTGGCGAATATATTGCTTGATTCACCCGACGTGGTTCATCGATTAGTTACCGTCGATCAATAATTGTTGGCGCTCCATCGTGTTTGTTATTTTGCTCGTACATATGTTACTTTGTATTCTGTTATTGACGTTTAGGCAGGCGAAACAGTATGTTGAATTAAATTCCATAGCAAACTTAAGAGTCAAATAGTGCTGGCGAGATATGTGAACAGAAATCACTTGCCTGATGAGTGGGAACCACACTGTCCCTGCTCAATGAGCGTACCTTTTTAAGATCGATTAAAACTGTTATTCGCTATGGCACATCACTGTTCAAAACGACACCATCACATTGTTTTCTGTGGCAGCTGCAAGCTTTGGAAGAGGAGAAAATTTATGCATGGCACTGATCTTCATTTGAACTGCGTGAAAGGACCCGAGATAACCATTGCGGAGTCCCCTGCTGTACAGTGCCTCATAATCTATCTAGGTTTTTGGGAAGTGCGTGACAGAACCAATTAAATAAAGTAGTTCAGCTTAATAGGGACCAGACCGTGCAGCGAATGGACGCTGTGGTCCTTATTAAGCTAGACACTTCCCAAAAACCAAGGTAGATAGAGTGCAGCACGGCTAACGTGCAGCGAATGGATATTTCAAAAAATCAGAATGGTATGTTTGCAATAACTAGGGGTGGTCTAACAGTCTTTATGTAGCAAATCATTTCAGGAGCTAAGAAAATGCCCCCATTTTTCTACTGGTCAGTATGAATGGGAATAAGAATAAAATATTGCAATTGCGACACTACACAAGGACAAAAAAAAACAATCCTATTGGGGGTCTCAATTTTCGGACCTGTTAGTTTTCAAAGCGAACAAATGATGCAATAAAAGAAACCAAAACTAGGCCTACCTTGACTATGAAGAAAAATCACTTAGATCTTCGTTACGCAATTTGAAGTCACAAGAAGATGAGAAACTTTAGGGCTAATTAGCTCATGCGTGACCAATTTTACTACTTAAATACCACGGGACTAGTTCGTTTCCTCATACTAGAATAGGTAATGCTGAAGCAAAAATAGCTAAAACATTGCATCTCCGCCATTGTGACATTGACTTAGCTCGCGTGTATTGTGGATTAAGTGAAGTTGTTTCCGTGACTCACTCTCTATTCTATTGTGACAAGATTACAGTTAGGGGGGTTGGTAGACATGTATTTTGCAGCAATACTTTTCGTGCAGACATTCAACCATTTATTTTTATTTCGTGAATTTTCTTCTAAAAAATGGCGCGAGCATAAGACCTGAATTTCACCAAATTATTGTTGAGCACCAAACTACAAAGTGATGCGATTACGCTATACATAAATTGTGTTATTTATCGAAATTTCAGGAGTGCCGAAATGGTACGCTGTGGTCTAAAAAAGCAACGCCGTGCCAGAAAAGTAACGAGGATGGTCATTACAGCTGATGTTTCTGTAACCATTCTGTGTACAAATTGCCTCGATAAGAGAGAAAGGGATGCACAGTTCCATCGCTGTTTTTTTTTCGGTGATGGTGGCTGTTTGTTAACGATAATTTAGCAAGCAAGTTGTTTTGTTGTTTTTACAAGTCACTGCGCATATTTCTCTGTGTGACACAGAAAACATCATATTTTTGGGCAGGCGATTCTCACAGGGCCGCGTTGTTGTGAAAAAATACAGAGACGTGCACCGCCCGCAAGGCGTAATTCCACTCTTACTGCATAACAAAGCACATATTTACATACAGCAGAGGAATGCTGGGCTGGATTTGCTCCATCTGTGAGGCCAAGTCAGTAACTATATTGGGGGTTTTACGAGGTAGAACCAAGATATAATTGTGAGGTGCACCGTAGTAGCGGGCTCCGAAAAATGCGGTGGTCTAGTGGCTAAGGTACTCGGCTGCTGACCCGCAGGTCGCGGGATCGGATCCCAGCTGAGGCGGCTGCATTTCTGAGGGAGGCGGAAATGCTGTAGGCCCATATGCTCAGATTTGGATGCACGTTAAAAACCCCAGGTGGTCAAAACTTCCGGAGCCCTCCATTACGACATCTCTCATAATCATATCGTGGTTTCGGGACGTTAAACTCCACATATCAATCAGTCTGCTTTAACTTGCGGTGACATCGCCAAATAAACGAAGGTCTAATATTCTGCCTCCACTGAAATAGGACTGCCATGACTGAGATATCAACCGTGATTTCGGTTCAGAAACCGAGCGTCGTAACCGGTACGTCATGGCGGCGGTTTCGTAATAAGAAAAGAAACAGTTAGGAATAGGCTGTGTTTGAAGTGCGTGCAAGTTCCCAGTTAATGTTGGGATATTGCATTACATAAAACATTCGCACTCTTTTGCAAAGTGCGAATGTTTCTTGTGTGTCTTTCTTGTGCATCAATTGACACGTAGATTGTTCTTAACGTAAAAGCACTCCTTTCAAAAAGACATTTTTGTGCGTAAGTTCTGCAATAATCTTTTGTTATTCATCAGTTTGTACCACAAAATAATACGTAAAAGAAGTGATGTAGCCATAGCCATGTGTAGGCACCAACCTTTCTATAAATGCATTTAATAAGAAAATAAAAAAGTCGTGTGCAAGGCACACGCACGATAAGCTTCTTTTGTCCATATTCGTTTCTAGTACTTATTATTCAACACTAATGATTGTTGAGAGCACGTCATTATGGTAGTTTCAGATGCCTATAAATTGTCCTCACACCCAGTTATAGGAGGTTGAGTGATATAAGAGGTGGAGAAAACTATTGCCTCGACAAGCTTTCAAGCCCCTCCTCCCTGATGAGCTCGACGAATACCCACCCGCTATTTTCCTCATCAGCAAAGGCAACAACTTCCGGCCACGCACCTTGCGCCATCGAATTCAAGATCTGCGTGTCACCGCTGAATCAAGCCGTATCTACAGTCTGATGAAATGGCGCGTCTCCGGGCTTGCGAGGACGTGTGACGTATGCGATCACCACTGTCTTCTCACGCGAAGTTGAGACGTAATACATGCCCGTGATTTCCCCATACGTCCCAAGAACCCTAGCGTGTGTGAAAAAGAAGAAAAACACTACGTAACTATATGGCGCACATGCAAATAGGAGAACAGTCGAATGCAGAGCAGCGGCTATGCGGCTTCGTCGAAGACATTAAAGAGGCCAACGTCGTGCCGTTATCGACCTCACGGGGAAAGGTAAGCTGGGCGATTTGCGGGGAGGCGAATATATAATGCCTAAGTACAGAATCACGCAAGGCTTGTCTCGCGCTTGTCTGATCCCCTTACCTAGAGACAAGACTATTTATGCCAGCATTGGAATCGCTTCCTTCTTTTTCAGTGCGTAGACAACTCTTGGTAAAAAAGAAGGCGATACAACACAATTTAGGAGCTGCGTTTTTTTTTAGTAAGTAGAAAGGCCTTTTGTCACATGTTTTATTTAAGAAGTTTCTCGCAGACAAAATCTACGTCAGTCGCGTTATTTAAAATTTATTCAAGCATTCTTGAGCATACCTGAAATAACCACTTTTAAAACAGACACGTTGACCTTATGCCGACAAAAAAGTTCGGTAGTCAATGAACGCATGTGACCTGTACAAGGAAACTGAGGCTTTCTAAGTAATCATTCTGCGTTACATTTATACTATGTGGAAATGAGTCGAGCTGTACCATTACAGCCGCTGAAGATAGAAAGCTGCACAGTGTGACCGCCCAACACTGAGTGGAATGTTTGCCTTTACTGCCACGACAAGAAGTCGATAACTTTAAATTCAGCCTCATGCAGCTGGGGGACATCTCAAACAGTGAACTTTGAGCGGCCTCTGGATGGAATTGCTACATGATGCAGAAATGAATGCTCTGTGGCTCGTACTTAAATACATGTTCGTAAAACGAAAACTCTGAAAATTCTATCGACTACCTCGTACACACATGTCCATATACAATGGTTTAAAAACTAGCCTGCTCTACGAGGCCTATACATTATTTTCATAAGGCTTTCGAGTCGTGCTTAGTCTGTCAGCAATTCAGTAAATATTTTACGAGCTCAATAAAACAGAGCCCGTTATGTGTCACGTACTTTTATGAGACTTAAAGGAAACATGCAATTGTATGAAGAAATCAGACATTGGGAACAATCTCTAGGTTTACAAACTCTGTTTACGCTGATTTTCTGTGTTATTGCGGCTTTGTGAAATAGTGCCGTGATGCTGGATGTGTGGACATCCTTGTTTTTTATTGTTATTTCAACGTTTGTCTCTTGTTTGTGTTATCAGATTACCATGTGGGTATTTCTGGTTGCATATCAATAAGCGTTTCAAGGAGTCGTGCTATTCTTGACATGCATTATGGTATATTAGAAGATAGAGTCTAGTGCTAGGTTATTTCTTTGCCCTATCACTCAGCCATAGCGGTACACGCCCGTCTTTCTTTATAAAAGAAATCAAGGATGTATATTCTACACAAGCATTCAAAGTTTGCGGGACACCAATGTAGCAACGACAGAGCGATATGTTGCATAAAGGAAGAATTAAAACTCCAGTCCCCTACAAGCAACTGCTCCCTTTAGGTTTTAAGCTAAGGAAAGATAGGCAGTGGCTGAATGCCTTTTTGTCCAGCATGTTGTCACGGGCTTTAGAGCTTTTATAGCCTGCAGAATGTAGCAAACTACAAAAGATTGTCGCACTTGAAAAGTGAGTGGTGTCTTGTTCGGACGCAGTTTCTCGTACTAACTCCACATGAAGTGACACGTACTCGCATCGTCAAAAACAGTTACGCTAGTGTGAAATAAGTGTCGAACGAGAACTCACTTCGATTTCCCCACCGCGCTGTCACCCAGACAGATCACTTTGAGTTTCACGTGTCCGTCCGCGTCTTGCTCCAAGCTCTCCTCCGTGCCTCCAGCGCCCACCGCTCCACCGGCCATTTTCCGAGATTGGCATGCGCGTCAAGTGCCACGAAGACGAGTACCGCGCCAACGTAGCCCCCGTGCAGCGCGAGCGCGACGCAAACAATCAATGATGAACAGCGAATAACGCAGCACCGACGGCATAGAGACGCCACGGGTGAAAGAGAAATAAAAATGAGAACCCCATGTGACGGCGAGCTGTGGGGCGTGACAAAAGGTGTCCCGATCGACTGGCGCTATGGCAACGTCCCGAGCGAAGGGTCGCTGGTACTGGCGGCATGTCAGTGGGCGACATCTGGCGCGTGTCAGAGAGGCCTGGCATGAAAAAGCGTTGCCTGATAAGCAGAGCGCGCAATTGTGCTTGTCTATAGACCGGGTAAGTGCATTCAGAAGCAGGAACTTCTTAACATGCTTGGTGTTCAATGCTGAGGAAATGAATGTTGTCAATATAGATATTTGTGGCTGCATGTATCGCACCTGAAAGCGTATTTCTTTGATGCAAAATTCGGCAGATCCCACGTACCAGGGAATCGACGTCATGCGAAGCATGCGGAAGAAAGGTTTTTTTTATTGAGCGACAGGTTATGAAATGACGCTATATATATGTATAAATGTTTCACACACAGGCATATGTTGAAGAGTTGCAGATGCTTATATGACCGGTTGTTTGCACTTGCGCAACGATGCCAATTGGAACATGCGTATCATCCACACCAGAAGCTGGTATGTAGCGTTGATGCTAGTGAGGATGCTGGCCCTGGACACTGCTATATAAGTCAACTTTAGCGCGTGACAACTAACCAAAATTCACGTTAACACAACATGACGGCTGTATCAAAGGAGAACATAGTAATGTTTATGAAATTAGGTAGGCAGTACTTCACCCACTATTGACGTTTTACGAAGATTAGCGTCTATTTCAAAAGTAGTTCGGACACCTGGCGTACATCTGTAATGAAATACTTCATTGCCACGCAAAATGCTTTGGTTAGATTCCAGCTGGGACTCTGACATTTATTCCTTACATTCATTGGGTCGACGCTACCGATTTCGGGTATTTCTTAACGCTCGCACGTTAATATTGCCCATGTGTGTTCTCGTCGTTTCTGGGTGGAAACTAACTGTTAATCAGCTGTGGTAAATACCCGCATACCAGCGGCACATACCCGCTCATGGGTATGTTGTGCCACAGTCTGGCGAGAAGTGTTTGACGGCGTACGCGACCGGGTTTTGACATTATTCATGTCTTGACTAGCGCGTCATGTTCATCAAATCATCTTACCCTTTCATGCTAATTTTGTTCATGCCAAATTAAGGGGGTTACCACAAGAGCACCCAAGCGTAAGCGGATAGATAGATAGATAGATAGATAGATAGATAGATAGATAGATAGATAGATAGATAGATAGATAGATAGATAGATAGATAGATAGATAGATAGATAGATAGATAGATAGATAGATAGATAGATAGATAGATAGATAGATAGATAGATAGATAGATAGATATGCTCAAAGTCGCCGAAGTTAGCTAAAAATGCTTCGAATTTAATAAATCTCAATGTTTACACCATGTTGTATATATATGTCAATGAAATAATCATAACGCGCCAGAATGCATGTCACGACTATAGCCTGAAGTGGGGCATAGTATTTATTGTAGTGCGATTAAATGCTAGGCCCACTTTAATTACCTCGTTTTTCAAGCAACGTACCTGGGTGAAAATTTCGTTCCGAAAGTTGTAGATGGTCTTACATGACATTCCGATGGGACAGTTTCGCAATTTATGTTCATTATTTATTAGGGCTCTTCTGATTACTGGACATGCCCGCAAAACCACAATAATAAGAAACAAACCATGTTACGTGTTCACTCTCGCGCGAGCTTATTCCAGTGTTCTCTATAGCGCTCCGCGTGCAAACGGCTGCCGAATTCGCTCGGCTGCGCTGTCCCAACAGAACCGCAATGTTGGTGGTGGCTGTGTGGTGAACACGTTCGCTAGAGCCACTAAATACGAAAAATACTGCGTCTGCGACATATTGGCCTAGAATAACCCAACTCTCACCACTTCAACACCCACCTTGGTCACATGAGAATACCGAATGCCAGTTGATGAGACCCCGAATGCATACCAAGCGCTCTCTATACACCCACAGTAAGAGTACGTTTTTAGTGCTTATATTGAAGGCTCGTTAAAGACTCGGAGACTGCATTGTTTCGTCGACAGCATGTGAAAGCGTCGCAACTCAGGTAGCCCTGAAGAAACTGAACTTTTGTTAGAAGCAACAAGTTGTGCTGATTTCTGGCAGTAAGCTTGCTTTGTAGCGGCTATAGCATGGGTTGGTTATGGAACAGTGCCTTCAAAGTTTGCTGCACTTTTTTACAAACTTTCACAGCATTGATATAAATGTAAAGATCACTAGATTTCGTCACGAGAGAGTTTAGCGAATAATTACACGGCCGACAGACTGTCCTGGACTAATTTGAAACTTACGTCAAGGGAGAAAGCTCCCAGAAGCCATCAACGCGTTTTAAGAGATGTCAACAAGCATTTCCACTTGTTATGGTTACAATCTTGACGGTCACGTTTGGCAAAGGGAGAAACAAGGGAAGGGGCCTCTTGTTACATTGTATCTGGACGGAATCAGGGCATATATCAGCACGACTTCACAAAATCAGACACTCCACGACATCATTGCGCTCGGCTTGCAAGACTTGTGGTGATCTAGAACATCGTTCGCTGATGCGTCATGAGCTTGAGGAAGAACGTCCATGTTTATTTCAAGAACTATAACCTTTTAGCTCACCACGCGACAATGTAAGCGATATTGTGTTCTTGCGTGGTCACGGGACCTCCAGGAAAAAGGTGTCGTGATTACTTCTAAAGTTTTTGGCCGCTACAAACCTTGCATGCGATTGGTACTAACTGACATTTATGGGCATTTATGTTGGGGTGTGGTGCAGTGATATAAGGGCCCTGTACAACATTGCGTACGGAATATATCTGACAGACCACCGGCTTATGTAACAACGTTGCGTCGCGCGTTGCTTGGTTTGTTATTAGCATACCTGTGCTCTGTCTTAAAAAGGGCATTAGTTCAATAAAGTCAGAAAAGAGGAAATTAGGTAGAGCAGTTGCCTGCAAATTTCGCATGGCTAGATTCAGCGGTAATTTAGAACGTCCTGAATTCTGAAGCTTAATCCTATGAAAAGAGAGGATGACATAAAACCCCTCTTGCACTTAATCCCGTGTGCCTCCAATTTAATACATCCGATTTTTTTCTGCCCTCCCTACATATTAGACGAGATTGTTGGTATGAGCAAAAGAGTAATTCAATGAACAAATGCATAGATAGATACAAAACTAAAGTAAATAGTGAAAGTGCAAAGTTTTATATATTGTACCACTTCTTTATTCTACAAAGATGGCCTTCCATTAACGAAGGGACCAAGAACACAAAGTATTTAAGCATCACTCTAAGGTAACTCCAGTGATTAGGTTAAATATTTATACTACGTTATAGAAGACCATACCATTAGCTTAACTAAAATCCGTATGAACATGTGCAATATTCTTCAGGGAGCTAAAACCAAACTGCTATGTCGTTGGCCATGTCATTCTTAACAGACAATCGCTTTACCTTTTCATGTATTTCTTCCATTGTTGGGACTATTTAAGCCATACAGACGGCCCTTTTGAGTTAGTGTTGTTCCGGCGTATGCAGTCATCAAAATGCGCAAACCTTTTCTTGTGGCGGCTGTCATTCTCTTGAACGTAGTACCACTACTTGCTCTGCCGAAATGGCTTGGTATGTTCGTTTTTACTCATGTCAGGGAGTGATGACCAAACTCAATATTTTTCATCGAGAGTAATACGGTATTTACATACGGAACAGAAACATGGAGACCTACAAAGAGGATTCAGCTTAAATTGAGGACGACGCAGTGAGAATTGGAAAGGAAAATGATAGGTGCAACTTTAGGAGACAAGAAGAGCGCAGAGTGGATCAGGGAACAAACCAGGGTTAACGATATCATAGATCAAATCAAGAAAAAGAAATGAACATGGGTCGGGCATGTAGCGCGTAGGCAGGATAACCACTGGTCTTTAAAGGTAACTGACTGGAACGCCAGAGAAGGAAAGTTGGTTAGGGGGAGGCATTAAGTTAGGTGAGCAGATGAGATAAAGTTAGCGGGTATAAAATGGCAGCAGCAAGCACAAGACCAAGTAGACTGGCGGAACGTGGGAGAGGCCTTTGTCCTGCAGTGAACATAGTAAGGCTGATGATGATGACGATGAATTTTATATACATAACTGTTTTTAATGTGCTCGTCTTTTTTCCTCTTTTTTCCCTCCTTACCATTTATTGCCCATCTCTTTTTCCCAGCGCCGGGTAGCAAACCAGATCTTTCTTGTTTGATCTTCCTACCTCTCACTCAACCTTATTCTCTCTTTCTCTAATATACTTAGACTGATCGCAACTTGCAGATTGCTTCAATATGCACTTATCACGTCCTATACATTTGTTAGTCACAGCCGCCGTACGACGACAGGCTGATAAAGGTCCGTAAGTAATGATAAGCCCACTGCTAATAAAGTAGTGTAATGAATCTGGAAACCAGAGCTACAATTACAATACCTAACAGCAGAGTCTTAGCAAACAAGTGTGAGCTGCAGAGAGTGAATTTTCGTTGCCCTTAGTGTAAATTTAGTAAGCGAATGCATAGTTTCATGAAACTCATAAGAAACAGCCATGCACGATAGTATGCAATCCTGTGCAAATATAAAAATACGCAGTGCTAGAGGGGCTTCGTAAAATAAAAGTCTGTGATGATTGCATACATAAAGAACAATTGATTGCCTAATTATTGTTTAAAAGATCACGCCATTGTGTTCTCCCATATGAATGGCTCAGCACACTTTGGTATCAAACTCTACACTGGCGTTGTTTTGTTCATATATTTCTACCAATAAGACCTTTCTGACTATATATATATATATATATATATATATATAGTACCATTACTATATATATATATATATATATATATATATATAGTAATGAAAAGCAGCAACGGTGCTTTTGCTTTCACGATGAGACGATGAGCCAGCGCGAGGCAGATGACGACGATGTTAAAATAAGAACAGTTGGTCTTATGTGATTCTTAAAGAGAAAAGAAGAGAAAAGTGAGCCCCGTAACTGTCTGCATCATAGTGCGACACCTCAGCAGCAGCTCACGAGGGATGGGTGTAAGGCGGGATTAAAAGGATACGATTAAAGGTATAGAGATAGAGAGGGGAAGGAGAAAGCGTGGCGCAGGGACAGCGATACCCAGAAGCAAGGAGAAGATAGGACCGATGGACATTGTTGCAGGAGTCCGAGGTTGGGCACCACTCAGCGAGAGCTTTTGTTGGCGGCAGGAGATTACGTAGGCGAGCCAGTCGGCCAAAGCTGCGCTGTCTTCGGAGATCGCGGGGGCACAACCAGTCGCCATGAAATCCAGAGAGCGAGCCCAGCTGGCCTACCGAACAGTATTTCGTTCGAACTACCAGGGTTTTTGGCCAATCACCCAGCGTGGGTGTGTGCCACATACTCCAGGTGCTTCATCTTCATACCATACGGGTGTTGTGTCTTATTTCTCCCTGACAATGGCACAGTCATCCAAAGGCTTTGGCGAACCTCAGCTGCCACCTTGGGGTCTGGCGTCTTTTCAGAGAACATCATCACGCTTCTTTGCTGATGAAACCACAAGGCGACATGTATGAATTTCACCATGAACGGACAGCGAGGAACTTGTCGAACGACGGGATACCTTGCGCCCACCTTGCGCACGGGCTCCTCTCACCTATAGAACTGGCGTACATGACTCCTCCGTACCTGGTAACCTGTAGGGGCTTGAAGCACCGTCCGAGGATGGCATCCAGGTCTCCTCGGTGGCTCAACATCGCTTTATTAAAGCCACCGTACAAGGTCACGACATGACGTCACACGGGAACTGCTTGTCTGGGAACACCATTGTCGCTTCCAATGGTATGAATCCCGTTGCCACGATTTTGGCCAGTGCAGGATCCTCAAGGGATGCCATTCGCGCGTCCTCAGCCCTGCATCCTACTACCACAAGGACTGGAGTCACCGTATCCTCAGCGGATGGTGGCCTTGTGTTTGTAATTGAATCATCTGACAGCGTCGCGGAGCTGCAGCACACCATTGCCCAACTATGCGTTAAGACTAACGCCTTGCTAGCGTCCATTTCCAAGCTGTGATCGGGCGCATTGCAAATTTGTGCGCACTGAAGGCTATGTTGGCAGCGACCGCGCCAGAAAACCTTGAGGCCAGCCCACCCGACAACTGCCGCAGGCTCCTGTGTTCTCTCACGGCGCTGTCAGAACAACTGGCCTGCTTGGCGCCGACATGTCCCGGACATTCAGCGGCTATATCACATAATCGCTAGCTGACTGTGAACCACTGCCATTCCGTGGCTTCCAATACGACACTAACTATTGGGTGGCTAGCGTAAACACTATGAGAGCTCGCAGGACAAAACAACAGCAGTGGTGCATAGCCCAAGACAAACTTCAAAATTTGACCATGGTGCAGCATAAGTACGAATGTGTACGGCAGCAATCATATATGCATCGATATGCAGGAATTTGACAGACACGCAGAACCCCTAAAGCATTCCTTATTGAAACAAAATTATACCGAAGGCATTATTGACGATGCCGTACTACGTGCTCGCAACGTGAACCGGAAATATATAATAAAAAGACCAAACAGAGTATCTAAAATGACTTCCCAAACGAACCTTGTACTAACTTACTCCTCATCCAGTGCCACGAATCAACAACGTACCTTCCCGCCATTTCAACATAATCAGGCAAAGCAAACGACTAACTTCAATTTTCGTGAAGCCACCTGACGTGGTGTACTGCAGGGATAAAAACCTGAAGGACATTCTTGTCAGACCAAAAACAAACCCCTCCAAAATTCAATCAAGATGTCATCTATGCGGAAAAGCTCGATGCAAGGTATGCACACGGATAGTCAGAACTTGTGAATCAATAGTGAACATCTCATATTTCATATTCTGCATAACTAAAAGCCTTAATTGTGATTCCAATAACGTAATATACATGCTACATTGCAACATCTGCGGACAAGAATATATCGACCAAAGAGACACGCCATTTCGGCTGTGGTTCAATAATCACCGGTACCACGCCACTACAATTCCGAAACTACCTTTATCTAGACATCTGTGCCTGCCAAACCACAGTTTTGAAAATATCAGCGTAACTCTTTTACAGTCCAGTATCTCAAACAGGTGCGAGGGCGAACAGCGCGAGGCATATTTTATTTTAAAATTTATAACATTAGTAGCCGACATCAACGAGGACCCCGGAAGACTTTCCTGCCTCCGAGAAATAAGCCAGGAGGAAATTGGTGACAAAGATTCATAGCTGAAGACCATGCTTTTAGATGCGGAAGCATCTTATACTCGCGCCTTGTAGTGCGCCGTCCGCGCCGTCCGTGCCGTCCGCACCGCTTCTCGAACATTCGACAGCTGACGCGCGCGCATGCGCCGTCGCGCCGTCGCCCACTCTTCCACCATCTGTGCATCCCTTCCTCTTCTACACACCGCGCGCGCTTCACTCCTCCGCCATCTGTGCACCCTTCCTCCTCTACACACCGCGTTCGACATCTACAATTCTCCTGATTCTCCAGTGGACGCGCATGTGGCGTCGCGCTTCGAGAACATTCAACAGCTGACAGTGCATGCGCCGTCGTGCTGTATATATACTCAAGGTCGGCGCTCGCTTGCTCAGTTGCCGCTCGTCGGTTGGTTTGTACGGCGCGTCGACGTCCAAGGTCGCGGTGAAATGAATTCCAACGAATCCACAAACACAATGATTGACGTCCCTTCGACCAGCGCCGCCCTTTCGCATACGTGTGTACGTGTTCACTCATTTAACACCCCCTCCTACAACCACGTTAACCAATTTAGCCATCGACCCAAGTAAGTCGCAATTTAACACCCCATTTCACAACCACGTTCACCAATTCAGCCATGGACCCAAGTAAGTTGCACTTTAACACCCCGTTAAGCAATTATATGGTCCGCATCCTCCTCAGTGTTCCCCCGAGGGAAGCTGCGGGCAATTTTTTTTCTGACTGACTCGTACGTGTACACTGTAACTTCTTAATTTTTTCTTTTTTCTTCTTTCTTATATATATTTTTCCTCACGTGTACATAGAAAGTGTTTACGCTCGCCTACCACTTGACGACCATTGAGGGCAAACGGGCGAAGATGAAAGGTAAAGAGCCGACCAACCCACTAAGGGGAAACTCTTTCCTTACGCACGCCGTCGCGGGCCCCTCCTGCCACCGCAGCGACAATCTTGGGTGGCCCGACACACGCCGAGAACTGGCCAGCACAGGATGAGAACCGGATGTGGACTTACACCGACATTTGGATGTGCACAGTCTGGTTTCGTGCTCAGCGTTCACAGTGTTTTGTCTCATCTTTTTTTGTTTTTTTGTTTGTTTCTTTATATCTCTCTCACACTCGCAAACATCTTTCAAGGCGGGAGGGACGCGGTAGCTATAAAGTTTGAGCGTCTGCGTTAGTATTACTCCTCCCTTGAGGAAGGAACGACCCTTCCCAAAACTTGCGAAATAAATATATTTATCCTTGTTGACAACGCTCCCGTTGATATATATATATATATATATATATATATATATATATATATATATATATATATATATATATATATATATATATATATATATATATATATATATATATTGCAAGGGGGTTTATTAGCGACGCCAGGTAATAGGCAGACAGCCGGTACAGAAACAAATGTTCGGGCAGTCCAGTGTCTACTGCTCGTGCTCCCGCTCGCGCTTCGCACTCAGCGATGGTCCCACTAGTCATTGCCTTGCGAATTCCCCACTACAATATATATATATATATGGTGCTCAAGTGCTAGCCAGAAAATTTTTTTGTGTGCAAATACTGACTGCAACCGTTACATTTTCTATGGAGGGGAAAATGTTCGAGTCCATGTGCTTAGGTTTAGGTGCACACGGAAGAACTCCAGCTGGTAGAGATTTCTGGAGCCGTTCACTATGGCTTCTACCATAATAAAACTGTGGTTCTGGGATGTCCAACCTGATATATGCAGAGAGAGAGGGAAAGATTTGTGTGACATAAATATAAAAACTGCTTTGCCATGCAGATTGGCTGCGGCCTCCATGGCGGAGAACCACTACTACCCCCCGACCAGGTATGTGCCATTAAAAGTTATATACCTTTTGTTCAGTTCTACGAATTTGCTGGAAGTTGATACCTCCAGCATTTGTTCCGTTAAAAAGTAATGGCTACTGTGTTTGGAAAAGTGCAGTTTGGCAGTACCTATAGATGTAATTGTTGAAATATTACAAAATAGAAAATGAGTTGTTTGACTAGCGGTAATGAGCTGCACATATATTTGGCATAGAATCGAAATTTTGAACAAAACAGCGGATTTGAACAATGTCAGTTTTGCAAACTCTGAGCGTTCATTTTTCTGCCATTGGAGTGAGTCATAACAGAGACATAAACGCGTCCTTTTAGAGGCTGTTGTAGGGGTGTTGAGTAGAAAAATAATTTATACATTGTGTATGGTTGGAAACCTTCGACAGTGTATGGAACGAAACCTTCGACGTTGATGCATCCATGGGTGTTGATACCTGATACCGAGAGAAATATTTTATGATAGGTCTGGGTTCATGGCTTTTATTTGTATTTTTGCTGTCTTTTTCACGCACAGCTGATATCGTACAAGGAGAAGTTTCCCTTTTTTGTAGTTTAAGTGCGTCTGCCATAGTGGCCTTAAAACAGTGAACACATGTTTTCAGGTGAAAAATATAAACAGCTCGTTTGGTGAATTTATAGTCTCGGAATCGGGAGGTTCCAAGTAACATCCATTGCAAAGCAATCATATTGATCATCATAATTGTCATCATCCACAGCATCAATCAAGTGGGTAGCTGAGCAAGTTCCCATACGTACGCATGACGGGTACTAGCCCATTCGCCTAAGGACATACTGCAACATAGAGGACACTTTGCAACAGTATTTGTAGTAATAATATTAGAATAATTTCTAAACTGCCAATTTTATGGACACCAGTGTTATTTTGCTTGCGGCACGGTTGAGGTGTCTACCGAGAACTGAAGCCAGGTATCTGACGGGAGAAATGATGTAACAGGGTGCGATTACGCTATCGCGTTCTACTCTTGCACGGGAAGCACAAGCGTCCTTCAAGTTTTCACGTTGGTTATGGGAAATACGTGCACTGAATTACACTGTTCTATCTATCTATCTATCTATCTATCTATCTATCTATCTATCTATCTATCTATCTATCTATCTATCTATCTATCTATCTATCTATCTATCTATCTATCTATCTATCTATCTATCTATCTATCTATCTATCTATCTGTCTAGCCGCCTATGTCTGGGTGTTCTCATATAACACCCTTAACATGGCGTAAACGAAATAGTATTAAAGGGTAAGAAGATGGTTTAAAGAATATGCCGCTGTGGTCAAGAAATGAATAGTGTCACAATCCCGTCGCATACGTCCTCAATTAACTTACCACTGAAGAGAGGCGCATGCAAAGGGCGCGTAAGTGCCACTATAGTATACGGGTATGTGGCACAGGTTATTGACACCAAGTATCAACCCAAAAACGACGAGAACATACATGGTCAGTTTCAACACATGGCACAAATCTGACATCGGCAGCGTTGACCCGCCAGGCAGACTATAGCCACGCCAGGTTCCACAACCATTTTCTTCGAATAAACCCTATATAATGCACGTGAAATGTCAATTGTGGTTGCAGTGCCGGCTATCCAATTTTATAAACATTACATATTTACTCCTACGATACAGCCGTCATGCTGGCTTAACGCCAAGGGCAGTTAGTTGCCATGCGCTGGAGTTGATTTATGTATCAATGTTTAGGGAAACAAGGTTATTACAATAAGTTGTAATAACCATGTTTCTGTAGGCATCATTGCGCAAGTGCAATCAACTTTATGTAAAAGTGAAGAAGATGACAGTGATTGATCTGACTGGGTCAAAATTAATATGAATAAAATGAACTCTCTCGCCATATATAGTTCAAAGTTTCCGAAGGTAAAGTTTAAAAATTAAAAGTGACCCGACGTTTGGCGGCTGATTCGGTTCCTTCTTCAGGGGTGACTGTTCAGCGAACTCAGTCACAATTTTTGTGTACGCCACCCATTTTGTGCCTAAAAGGACAGGTGGCAGTCATGGTCCACCTACTAAAGTTGCTGCACGGAATGCAGTTCAAGAATACCTTAATGCTTGGTTTTGCGAGCTACAGTGAGTGTAAACATCCGGAAAATATTCAGAATTGCAGTGGTGGAGTCGGGGTAAATTTTTTGCTTCGTTTGAGACAAGTATGTTCCAATGGCAGAGTGAGAGTGGTAATAAAGTGTTGCATTTAGGGAATCGGAGTGAATTCAAAGCTGGATTGACTCCATGGAGCAGGAACGTTGCTCCACCGAAATTGGCGGAGCAGTCCGGAACTCAGCATCGCATACTCCGGTGACGGGACGGGGTATTTCACCTCTGTGTGAATGGCCCCTTATACGTTCGCCCGCTTGAGGGTGCTGACGCTGTCGCGTGTTTTGACAGCAATGATCGAAGACATGGCTGACTGGGACAATCTTTCGCAGAGTGACAGCAAACAACCACGTAGGAAAAATTCGAAAGTGAAATTAGCTGAATAGAAAATAAGGTATCCTCTGCTAGGTATGCTGCAAGCAAGGTATTCTGGGCAACTTAAGAACTTCCGCCTCTACCTGTCTCCCCATACTTGCTCCGGCAGTGAGAATTGTGTTCCAATCACGGATTTGGAGGCATTGCTCTACGCCAGAGTTGAGTGCTCTCTCGCACAGCACATCGGCTGCTCCGATTCTACCATAATAATTCAACAGAAAATCGCATGCATTCCAGGGGCTGCATGCTTAAGCCCCGAGGATATGCCTCAGTCTTTCGAAAATTGTTTCTACAGCAGAAACAATTGTCATTCCTTGATGTCATTCTATGTCAACTTACCAATTGTTACCCTCAGGTCGTATATTCTATACTGGGTCCGGGTAATTTTGCATCGTTCTGGCTTTTTACGCGAAAAAAGAGCGCATACAATATTCGGCTACTTTATATCACTCAAAACGCTTCTTTGGCATTGAACTATACGCCTGAAGTAAGATCATTTGCGCCTTTAGAGTGCAACATTGACCTGATGTGTCTCTTAAGATATCTTGGGAGAAGAAGACAAGAATGTCATCAGTTGTACCTACACAGGCTGTACTACTGTATTTACATGAGGTGCTCAGTGCTGATACTCATATTTACAATGATGATTTAATTATGATAAGTAGCTTCACCAACCGCCGTAATATTCTCATGAGTATGTATGAAAACAAATCGTTCATGTAACTTTAACTACAGCTACTGGACTAGTAATCTAGTTTCTCAGAGAAATGACGCCTATATCATGATTCATTTTTCATGCCTACAAAGAAGCCCTAAAGTCTACTGCCCACTCTACATTATGACTCACAAGTTCTGATCATAGCACAAATCAGCCGAATTCTTCAGTATGCTAAAAGTAAATGAGCCCAGAGTAGTATTCCCGTGACTGCCTACTTACTGTGGAATTCATGAAATTGACCAAGCAGAGGCAGTTTTTCGTTAAGTCCACGTCGACGTCATCAGTGTCACGTTTTATCTTTGAAAATCCAGCACCACGGGAAAAAAATGTGCGCCAGGCCTTCATCTAACGTTACACTTATAAAATTCAGTGACATTTACAACAGTGACACATACTTTTCAGCCCGATCTGCAGCTGCATATTCAGTCCAACTTATTCAAACGGGACTGTACCATGCTGATCCGTCTGTGGCTTCAAGTCATTCTCTCAAGTGCCTCTTTACTAATTATTATTGAATGGCTGATAACACGTCATGCAAATTACGCGGGTGCAGCGAAACAGCCGCGCACCTTAGATGTGGGTACACCCCCATCAGCTAAAATAAATGTGTCCACCTCCGCCATCCTGGGCAAACTCGATAACCTACCTCTCACAGAAAAGAAATGCGCAAAGCCTTGACCTGCCCAGTTTTCAATCCGAGCTTGTCTGGAGGCGTTGTTGGGGCTTCTTTGAGCAACCGAACATAATGACCAAATGTGACTCTTTGCAATGTTGCTGTGCAATACCAGCCTGGTGCTGTAGTCATGACTTCATTTTCATTTATTTTCTCACCTGCTGTCATCCTAGGTCTTCTTACTGTTTTCATTCTTTTACATCGCCTTTCCCCTTCCGAGATACAAGATAGCAACCAAAAGACTGCTTTCAATTAACCTCGGTGTCTTTGTTTTATCTCCCCTATTCGCAGTGTACACGACGTACTTGGTGAGACCGTGTTAGGAATGGAATTACTCTATTTGCACAAGCACAACACAGCGATCCACCTCTCAATACCTTGCGTCAAAGCCAAAAAATGCATTGTAGGCAATTAGTGGTTGACTCATCAGCAGGAAGGCAATGTGTACAATGCGCGGTATATAATAGAAAATGTTTAGGCAAACTGTACAGTTTTTTTTTTCAGAGTATTTTTTCAAGTGAAAATTGAAGTAGCAAACTCTACAGACTTCATGATAACTGTATGCGTATGCGTCAATGAAACGCTAAATCATCTGCCATTCGCTAATAATGTAGCGCTAGCATTTCAATTTCGCACCAGCGTGAAGCGTCATTATTCGTTCTAGAGTTCTCTCTTCTTGCATTTTGTATGTTACCATTCATCTTCTATTCAGAATGTCATGCACGCTTCGTTTACTAATAGTAAATTCAAAAATGTTTTGTATTACATTATGAATATTACGTGATTTTTAGGACAACACATTATTAGTCAATATATTTACTCGTTATTATATTTTTTCGTTACAGTTCCTCCTACAACAAGAAACTACACGTACTGGCCGTTGGGTGAGTAAATGGCAATGCAGCATTCAGATTGTAGGCTAAAAAGCTTCCTACAGCTTTGACACGAAAATTCATTTCTAAATATATAAAATGGTGATTCCCAACAAGTCAGCCGCACTAATGAAAAATATTACCATTCCTACTCGTACTTTAGTTCTGGCAGCGTAACATGAAAAAACGTTCCACAAAAAAAGAATAGCAAGCTTATAATAAGACACGCGAAGAATGATTGTAAACCTAGCACTCATGACAACTGCCAGAAGATATCGTCTTTAAGCATATCATTACCTTTCTTAAATCTAACAACGTCCTCTCGAATGTTCAACATGGTTTTCGGCGTGGATTCAGTACCATCACTCAGCTTACAGAATTTCTTTATGATGTTTCTTTCGCTCTTGACTTAGGCCTTCAGATGGATGCATTATTCATTGACTTTTCGAAGGCATCGACACTGTCATTCATCCGAAACCGCTATATAGGCTCACTATTTTGGAAAAGAACCCTCTGCTTGTCAACTCGATTAGTAGTTTTCTTTCAAAGCTTCGCCAATGTGTATCATTTAATGCGTTACATTCGTACAGAACACGTATTTTCAGGAGTGCCCCAGGGATCTGCGCTAGGGCCTCTACTTTTTTATTGTACATTAATGACATACCAGGCATAGTTTCCACTAAAATTTGTCTTTTCTCTGATGATCATGTCCTGTATCACGTAATCACTTGACCTGATGGTCATCGTACACTCACCGCTTTATTCTTAACCTTTTAAGTGGTGTCAGAATTGCTAGACGAACATTTTTTCCAAAAGACTTCTTCCATGTCTTTTAGCAGGCAGAAAACCACATCAACGTTTAATAATTCGTCCCACAACTACGCTTTACAGCGGGTCCCACAGTACAAATAGCTTGGCCTCCCTTAGACCATAAACCTATCATGGTCTCATTACGCCGACACAACTATGCAATAAAGCAATATATAAAAACACTCGGATACCTTAACCGTTCACTATGTTTAGCCCTAAAAGAAACAAAATTGTTAACATAAATAAACTATCGTAAAACCAATACTTGAATGTGACGCCACTATATGGTACCCGTTCAAAATTGGTCACATAAAATGCATTGAACCCATCCAGAAAAAAGCCATTCGTTTCATATACAGACGCTATGACTGCCATTTCTCACCATCATTTCACCTAACGCATCTTGCTAAAGGCCAACTCCGGCAATTTTTCGAGGTCAATGGATCTCAAAGAAAGTCGCTGGGTACGTTTATTTGCTCATTTACGTTACTAATGCCAAATTACAGGCTTGAAAGATGTGCTGATTGTTTGCAAATGAATTTCAAAGATTGCCTCGAAAAGCTCACCTTGCTTGCCAAAATTATTGGCAACACTGTCTGTGTGACGTTGTGTTTGGCATATAAACATAACTGACGCAGCCAATGGCATCACTAATTTGGCCTCTACAGCGTTATTGTGTTGGCCACAAGGCAATGATGGTGGTTTTTGGCACGGGTATAGCACGGGAAAGCTTTCTTCTATCCTGTGTGGTGTTTGGCCGGTGCTTCGCTGGTCTGGCTTCAAGTTTTCGTACTGCGCGCCAGCTGGACCAGTATACAGTCTCCGGGTTCTTGCCATATAGTACGGCATACGGTCGGGTTTTGGTTTTGGTTTTGACATTTTTGCCTATTAAGAATCATTTTCAAATTTCGAAGCATTTCAGCTATTGGGTTCGTGACAAGAGTGTCCCAGGAACATAGAAACACTATTGCCTTGATATGGTCGAAAAAACGCCGGAGCTGGCCTTCAACTTCACTTTCTAAACGACGCAACATCGAGTCTCTCAAACGTTTCTGCCTATTTTTTCATTCACCACAATATTCATCGCACAACAACTACATAACGCATGCATGAACAACATTCACCAGAAACAGCCATACACTTAACGTATCTGTGTTTTATCATCGCACAGACTTCTTCAAATACACTTTATTCCCCAATGTATTCCCCAAATATGGAATACCATACCAGGTGAAATTCACTTATTAGAAAAAGATGAATTTCTGAAGGCACTAAAAACAGCATACAGTAACCCTTACTTCTAGCTTTGCAATGTTTGTTAGTTGTATTTATAGTATGTGTCGTAAATATTTGATGTGTCATTGTATTTATTTCAATTATTCACAGTTTCTTGTATTTTTACTGCTCTGTATCTACTCCTGCCATAGCCCTGTAACCGAGCTGCCGTATGTGAAAATAAAGAAACAATATGGGTCAACAGAGGGTCATTTACAATAACGACATCTGAACAGGCTGTTTTGCATATGCAAAAAAAGAGTGTAAGGAGTAGGTGCAGCCTGCGACCCTTTTCAGCTAAGATAGAAACTTGGACAGTTCAAAAAGAAAATATCCCGATTCCCCAAGGCTAGTACGCCCTTATTTGCCCACATCCATTCACAGCCACAGACGACAATCTCGAACTGATAGGAAAGACAGTGGGCGAAAGCAAGCCAGTATGTCGCTTAACGCCAAGATACAGTTAAAAATAAGGCAGCTTCGCAATGCTGGTGTCCTACTTGAAGGAAGTAGGGAGCTGTGCCACCTCCTCTGTTTCTCTTCAGCTTTCCGATCGGGGGGCGCGCGCTCAGTATGCTACAGCTGCTATGTTACACGTCATCTTGCCTGCGTTACGCCAAGCGACAACAACATCATACACAAACCGTTTCGCCCCCCCCCCCAAAGTTGCGCCACAAGTTAAACAGCTTTAAATGCATTATTGTCGCGAGAAATAAGAAAATCTGTCTATCAAGATATAATAGGATGTCTACCAAAATATATTGGGGTGCCTATCAAGATATAATAAATAAGGGCTAATGTAGAATAGGGCATCCTATAAAAATTTCATTGTCCATTTCACCTATTGTAGTGGCAGTTATAATTTTTTGTTAGTGGGCGACATTCATGGAAAGCTATACAGGGTGTCGACAGTACGAATTTTTTATGCAAATTCTCCGACACTGACACCACAGGAGCAGTATTCGCTCTTCTACTGTATGTCAACGTGTAAATATTTTGCAGGTACTGAAATGACATTTGCTGTACTAATATCAAAATGCGTTAATTAGCATCCTAATTATTAAACTGAGAGCCGATCTTTATATTGAAAAGTTCTTGTGCAAGACAGTTTACAGCAGGCCCTATTTTCTTTTATAAATCGCGAAAACTCAAGTGCATCAGCATCAAATGTGAAGGGTGCATTGAAAAGGGTGCAGTCAAAACTGATCATGCCTTGTATTCAGCAAACTCAGTCTGCCTGCTACGTCAGAGCACAATCACGCGTGAAACAGTAGGGACAATGTTTGAATGCAGATCGTTGCCATATTTTTTTGTGAAAAGTGGTGAGAGGAACTCCCCGTTACCTTAGCGTGTGGTGTTTGGTACGTATACAGCTGTTCCTTTCGAGCTCTGCCCCTGAAACAACAATACCAACCTTATATTACTTTCGCAAGCGCAAAACACAGAGAAAGCCACAGCGGCAGCCACAGTGGCCCTATTCTTGCCAGTATGTGAAATATATTTCTCAACAGCGGAGGTCGTGATTCCAACGATTGGCAGAACTTTTAAGCTCAGGACGGCTCACCATCAACTTGTACGATAGCACAACTCGCAGCGAATCACGCCACGCTGGTTTTCATTAACGGCCAATTAAGGCAAAGGTAGACAATATTCGGGGGACTCCAAGGAGGCACTGCAGTCTCTATTGATGAGTTTATGCCACAGTTCACACGAACAGTTGTTGTTTGAGTATGCTGGTATATTACACTACCTAAGGAACAGTGGACAATACATCACATTTTAGTGGCTTCCTATAGTCACTGTACTATCATCTGTAATGAAAGACCCAGTCAAATTGCCAGTTCGGCCCTGCAGACGACCGGAACCCTTCGATACCTCTTTCCAATACAGACGCTGCTCGGAAGCTCCACATGCTTTACAGCTCCGCACTATGCTTGTCGATTTTTGTGAACATATTCTTTGCCTGTGCGCATCATTCAAATTTTATCAGTTCCTCGTCTCGTGCTGCTTCAGTATTAGATAACAGAGAGGCCGCGTCTTGTGCGCGTAGGGCACGATTTGTTTTGATTTAGCGTTTTGGAATCAAATAAGAGTCATTTGAGTTACGTGACATTCTCGTGCTTTGTAAAAATATGAGTAAGCCGTGAAGAGTCGACTGCCCTCAAGTTAGAAATGAAGAAGTTGATCATTCATTATTTGTTACCTAATCACATCACTGACATTATGCTTGGGGCATAATGACATAATGGCATAAGGGCATTTTCGTTCTGACATAGAGTTGGAGTGTGAGAATGACAGGGGCCTGACCATCACGGAATTTTCCTGGGGATACGTATTGCTTAAGGTAAAACATCCTGTAGATGTACGCATACTCCACACAAAGTGCCTGTCCTCTTCTCATCACAAGTGTAAAAAACAGTCACTACCGTAACCTAAGAAGTATGAGTGGATGTGAGTTGGCGCATATCTCGGATACTGTGTAGGGCAGTTACATTCAATTGTTCGAGATGGCAAGGAGTTGTATTGTTTTGAAATATACCAGCGATGTGAAGTTCAACATTATTATCTCACACTTCTCAGTAAAATGAGAAATTGTGCAGAGGCATTATTACTTTAGAGCATGTTCATATGTTTCTCAAGATACTTCAACAGTGAAGCATGTTTCTAACAAACACAATGTGTTACAATGCTTTCATGGTTTCATGTCGCAGAACGCTGGCCATGGAACAATCGTACGAGGATCAAGCGAAGTGAGTGTACATTACGTTTAGTTTTTATAATCTTAACCACAGAAGTGGAGCACACAGTTCTTGGAGTACTGTATGTCCCATCGGAAGTTTTGATGGAATCATGCATGATGCTAACTAAAGTTGTTAGCCGAATTTTAAGGCACACGAGGATTATAAATTTCGTTATCGAAAGCTCACATTCCTTACAGGTCTTGCACATTGAGATATTCAGGAGGTACCAACTGTACTGAGTAATTTGTGTTCACCTGTTAATTTTTAGCGCATGTAGAATGAGCAGACTATACGAAATTCTCTGTACAGGAAGTTTGACGAGAAAATAATAAATATTGTTCTGATCTCTAGTGCATACCAACGAGGGTGCATTCGGTTACTAGAATAATCTACATAACATCAGAAGCTGCACATAATGTTCTCCGAAATGAACCAGTTTCAAAATGACATTTTGAGATTACGCAGTTTTACAGCTGTCTAAGCCCAGCCTACATGTTAAGTAGATCAACCATAGTGATAAACAGTCTGTGTAAACCATTGCCAGTTATCTTTATAGTTTATCAAAATTGAAAACATTGAACACTACCTTTACATTCGCTTCGCTATTACAAACGGAAACATTTAGAGAACTTAGATAAAAATGAAACCATTGCTGCATTTGAATGTAAATCAAATGACAGTTATGTGGGATTTGCGGGGAAATTGAAAATATATTCTCAGTTATAATACAATAGAGCTTGCACCTGCAATTCTTTTACGAAGAGCAAAGGTACATCGATTCGCGTTGGATTCATGTCAACGAAAACCTTATGCATGCTTATTTGACATCTGTCGTTTGCGTTGTTGTCTAAAGAAGCTCTCTGTGACAAGCTGTCAAGTTTTTACCAAGTGCCAAAAAAAGCACAAATGAACAGTCTGTACATTGTATCACGCAGCTGTAGTTGCTTATCAAAGCATGAGCTATCTAGAGGACGTTTCACAATTTCAAAGTGCGCAGGCAGGAATAAAGTCCATCTGGTACTCTGGAGCTCTTTATAGTTTTTGTTTGAACTTTCTTTATTCTTTCTTTAAGAAGAACGAAGAATGTCTAAGTTAGTTGAAAGCATACTGCATGACTGATAGCAATAAAAATTAACAAGTAATGTTGATACCAAGCGTATAGATGTCCCGGAGCTCTCTTTAATGAAACTGACGTCAATAAGTTTGCGTTGAGCTATTTCACTGCATTATTGAAAAATACCGTGCTGCTACGTCATCTGACTGGCAAGAAATCATCAGAAAAACTCTGGAAGATGCTTATATCTCCAACGATATGAGACGAAGCACTGAAGCGATCGATTACAAAAACTTTCATGTAGAGGTGCAACATTAGTCAGAATTGAAAATAATGCCGACACCCTGTACAACGCCCTAATCAAATACATGTTGCTTAGTTAAGAGTAAGTCGGACTGTTTTTTTTTACTGCTACATTGTCTAACTGGGCATGTTAAATTTTCAATAGAGAAACTTTTGAAGCTACGAATGCGAGATGTATTTTCACTGATAGTGTTATACATCGCTTTGCAAAACGTCCGATTAGACAGTTTATAACTGCCTTTTGAATAGGTTATTGGTTTTCCAAGGACACTTATAGTTGTCAGTGGCGAGGCGGCCTGAAGAACAGCCCAGAGGCACAGCAGGAATCAGGAGCACGCGCCGAGCGTTGGTGATGGCACTCATTTTTCGCTAGCGACAAAGCTAGCGACCACCACTAAGTGTGCTCCTCGCCCTAATGAATTGCCCCATACAAGCGTGTCGTTTGTACAGAAAACATCAGGAAGAACTTGAATCTATAGACATGACACGTGGTGCTCTGTATTTAGCTGGTATTTGTAATGAGCCAACTGCCAAGTCCAAGTGTCGTGTGGACTTATCGTTGTGTGTGAGTGGGGTGCCTAGAGTCGTCGGGGTCTAGCGATTTAAGCGGACGCTTTGTGGTTTGTGATGCAAACACGTCTTTACTTTTGGGCGAAGTTTCTTGCCCTTCGCCTCTTTCAAAAACTACAAATAATTTGCTCCTTATTTTTTCAATGAACGTTATTTGGCTGACCGTGCATGTGATTACAAGCACGTATACGTGACTGCAGACTTAGGGTCATGTGTACTTCGAGATACCTATTTACCAGAGTTTTTTTTTACTACTACAACACGCCAACGAATGGGATAAAGCCCTAAAAGCAGTGCCTGTCTATTTTTTAGCACTTCGAAACTGTTCTCGTTCACTTTTAACGCATTTCAACCGTCCGTGACGTATACGCTTAACGTAACAATCACATAGAAGTAGTCGATCAGTTCGCAAAACTGATGCGCGCTACTCGTCAGTTGACAGGGAACGTCAAAGTAGGAGCACGACCACTCAAAATCAGAAAAACACCGATATTAGGGACACTCTGAAGCCAACAATATACTAATTGAGCGGAAGACGTTAGGACAGAATAAACATAGGAGAAAGAGGGTCGTTCGGGGCATTAAGGCGGCCTAAGCTCACAAGGTCACAGGTTCGAAACCGCGCTGTTTTTTTAAATAGATTTTCAAACACTTGAGAAACAAAGGCCGGGCAAGTTGCGAGTAAGTTGAAGTTGAGAGCTGATCGGCAGTCAAATGGTATTCTACGTGCCAAGAAAGTGCAACAGAAGCCCATACTTAGAGAAAGTGCCGCAAACTCGCATGAAATGACAAAATTCTGTTCGAATGCGATCCATTCCCAATCGTATACTTGTTTAAACTCGTGATGAAGGAATCGTTAAAAGGTCTGGAGTGCGGCCTCTTTAGCGACCAGCTGGCGGTAATACACTCCCTTACCAGTGCCGGGTGGGCAACCCTGGTGCAGTACCTGGCCACAACCTCCCGTGAATACACCAACTACTCCTTGGCCCTCAATACCCAGTGGCTGGGCAGCAACTGTCCAAGACGATGGTCAGAACTGGGGCAGAGAGGAGGTTGCTAAGGATCTCTGGGTCCGCACAGGCCGCCATTGGAATCTGAATTTGGTTATCTTCAACGCTAGAACGCTATCTACTGAAGCTAGCCCAGGTGCACTATTCCATAATTTAGAGGGTGGTAAATTAGATGTAATAGGGCTCAGCCAAGCTAAGAGGACACGTGAGGCTTCTACAGGGCTAGACAAAGGAACTAGAAGTGGGATGTCTCATACACAAGAATATCGCTGGCGAAATGGAACAGTACTATAGCATCAGTGAGAGGCTTGACAGTATCATAACTAGATTTAACAAAATGTACAAGGTGAAGGTGGTACAGGCTTACGCACTCACATCGAGCCATGATGATCATTTGGTTGAACACTTTTATGAAGACTTAGTCTACCATTAATAAAGTAACAGTATACTATTCTGATGGGCGACAATAATGCAGGAAAGAAACAGGCCGGACACCATCCGGGGGGAGGGCGGGGGGTATGGCACTGGCCCTAGAACTGCCAGAGGAGAGTTGTCAGTAGAGTCCACAGAACGTAAGAATTTACAGTTCTTGAATACCTCCTTCATAAAATGGGCTTACCGTAGGTACACGTGGCGAAGTTCTAATGGCGAAAATAAAACAGAATTAGATTTCTTTTTTGTGTGCACAACCAGTCATTGTACAGGATGTAGAAGTAGTTGGCAAGATGCGATGCAGCCGCCATGGAATAGTAAGCGCTCGTATTCACCTAAATTTAAAACAAAGCAAAGCAAGGACTGATACGCAAGAAGCAAATTAATGAACTAGTGGGGAAAAGGAAAGTACAAAAGTTCGGAGTTTTTCTTCCGAATATATCCGAGGCATTAAACGAGGTAACCGACGTCAGCGTTGAGACAATGAACGATAGTCTTGCTACTTTAATCAAAGAGTGTTTAATGAAAGTTGGAGGTACAGTCGCTAGACAAAACACTGGTAAACTATCTCGGGAAACAAAAAATCTTGTTAGGAGCCGACAGACTATGAAGGCCTCAAATGAAACCGGCCAAATAGAGCTGGTGGAGCTTTGCAGTTAATCAATAGGCGTAAAGTAGCCGACATCAGAAGCTATAACATGGAAAGAATTGAGCAGGCTGTAAAAAGTGGCGGAAGTCTAAAATCTGTGAAGGCAAACTTGTGGATAGGCGAAAACGGATGTGTGCATTAAGAAAGAAGGAAGTCAATCCCATAACCAATGCGAAGGTGATAGTCCACGTGGCAAGGGAGTTGTAAATAAGGTGAAGAAGAGCTGCACAGAAACCAAAACAGCCAGGATGATATAGTGAGAAACAATAAAAGTTTTGAAGGATTACGTCTATTTACAACAGGTAGTAACCGTGGAGCCGAACCATAACACTTCAATAACTAGAAGAACAAGGATAGGGTGGATCACATTCAGCAAGCATTTTCAAAGCATTATTGGTAATCTGCCACTAACCCTAAAAATGAAGGCACATAACAGCTACATTTTGCCAGTATTTACCTACGGAGCAGGAACTTGGAGTCTTATAAAGGGGGTTCAGCTTAAATTGAGGACGACGCGCAGCGAGCGATGTAACGGTAAATTATATGTATAATCTTAAAAGAAGAGACCAGAGTGGGTCAGGAAACAAACCCGAGTGAAGGATATATAGTTGAAATCAAGAAAAGAAATGAACATGGGCCGGGCACGTAGCGTGTAGGCAGGATAACCCTATGCCGTGAAGGGTAACGACTGGATTCGCAGAGAATGTAAACGCACGAAGGGGAGACAGAAAGTTAGGTGGACCGATGAGATTAAAAAGTTCGCAAGTATAATATTGCTTTGAAAGGCACAAGCCAGGGCTGATTGGCAGATCATGAAAGAGCCATTTGCCCTGCAGTAGGTGTAGTCAGGTTGCTGCTGCAGATAATGATGACTATGATGTAGTAAGCCGATAAACGGCAATTTTTACTAGAACTTGCTCATTCGAAGTTTTTGCTCAGCTTCGTTGCTTCAAAAGTTAAACATGGCTGAGAAAGTAGTTGCGATGAACTCTAAGTGCACCATGGCACAGCAGGTGGTGCTACCAGCTTGTCGCAAACCGACATTCCTTTCCACCTCTCTGCACCACCAACTAAGCCAAGGAGAGGGAGAGGAATGCAGAACCGGTTCGCAGTTCAAATAACAATAAAGTTGGCATCGAGATTCTCAGCAACATGCTTCACCTCTGTGTCACCCGCGCGTACTAACACAGATAATCAGAAAAAGAATAATTGGAGTTACTTCATGCCATGGTCAGTAACATGCATTTTGCGTACCCAAAGAGTGCATCAGCATATTTCAAACCTCTGGATAGAGATATCTGTGGTACTTTGCTAAAGAACAAAACACAATTCTTTCAAACATTTCAATGAAGAAACCTGTTCAACCAATAGCTTATTTGTGGAGTTCCCCTACATACTTGAAATTCTGCGCAACAGTGGAATGAAAACTCTACACGGGGCATTACATCTGTTGAAAACCGTGCACGGCGTTCCGTTGGCATGAGTGCTCACAAGACCCGACACCTGTTCAGCGCTCATAACAAGAAACGTTCTCAGGTTTCTAGTAGTCTTACTTGGTAGGAAATCGGAATGACGGTGCTTACTCTTGCCTTTTGCTGAAATAATATTCTGAATTAAATATAATTCTCTGAGGGATGTAAAGAATACCATGATGATGACGCGTGTTTGCCATTGCAGGTTGTGACGGTGGCAATGACGAAAGACTTATGTACTGTCTTTACCCTGCCAGTAAGTACGTTTTTCTGAATAATGAATCGGGTACTGATTATTTTGATTTACATAAATATGTAGCACTACCTACTAGCAAGTTTCACCTAAAAAAAGGCAAATTCTCCATATTTCAAAAAACTTCGCTCGAGATGAAAATGATTGTGTAGTAGAAATAACGTAAAATTTTGCTGAGCCAGGATGAACATTTTAACACGATAGCGGTACAGAGCTTGGTGTAGCAAAATTACTGGGGTTGGCTTGGCGTATTATGAGCGAAAAATCAACGTTGTTCAAAACCTCTAAAAAAGAAATGCAGATAAAATAAATAAATATTTCTTTCGAGAGGTCCTACATTGGCTAGAGTCACAAAGTTGATATTGGGGGAGGGGGGTGCTCTGGTTTTTTGAGATATACATTTTTCAGTACTGAAATAAAATACCTGTGATATAATGCTGAGGAAGAGTTGAACCCCGGAATACTGTTCAGAAAACATGTGTTGTACCATGGAGTCATGTAACTTTATTTCTCTTCATTATAGGTTTGGAAACTGTTGCACAAAAATAATGTTTTAAATTTATTAATCAGGCCTACTTATACAATTGAAACCAGTCAGGCATGTTACTAGGGCATTCAGTTTCGCAACCGCAACACGCATCTGTGTGATTGTGGGGTGAAAAATAGCCCTGCATCTGAACCTTGCGGTGGAAGACAACTTATCTTCTTTGCGAAGGCAAATGTCTGAAATGTATTAACTATGAAACATTTTGATTTATTGATTGATTGAGTGAGTGAGTGATTGATATGTGGAGCTTAACCTCACAAAATCATCATATGATTATGAGAGACATCGTAGTGGAGGGCTCCCAAAATTTCGACCACCTCGTGTTCTCTAACGTACACTGAAATCTGAGTACACGGGCCTACAGCGCTTTCACCTCCATTGAGAATGCAGCCGCCAGATCTGGTATTCGATGCGTGACCTGCGGATAAACAGCCGAGTACCTTAGCCACTACACCACAGCAGCAAAGATGAAACCAATCCATTCCATTTCGTCCATCCATCCATCCGCCCGTCCGTCTATCTATCTATCTATCTATCTATCTATCTATCTATCTATCTATCTATCTATCTATCTATCTATCTATCTATCTATCTATCTATCTATCTATCTATCTATCTATCTATCTATCTATCTATCTATCTATCTATCTATCTATCTATCTATCTATCTATCTATCTATCTATCTAGTTGCATTGTTATTATCTATTGTGCTCTCGTGATTAGCTCCATTACTTGGGGTTGACCGAAATTTTATGAGAGGAGAGGAGATGACTCATGTTGCTGTCTGGTGACATTATGAATAACGTCATAATAATGTCGCGTACGTCATCACACACTGCTTCCAGACACGTTCGCCACATGCCCTTATGCTAAAGGCCGCTATAAGTGAATACGCGCCAGAAGTAATCCGCCATTTATATCTACTCTGAAACACAAGGGAAACTCTTACCTTAAATGTGGTAACCTTCACCTTATAACACCCACTATCAGTTATACCTTCAAAAAATTTTCGAGAAAACGCTGCCTGTTTTTACTCTTCTTGTGCAGTTGACTTGAAGAAAAAATTTGAATGAAATACTGTTTCTGTTTACTTAATTAGTAATAAAAGGAAAACAAATTACTATCGTATAATATGTAAGCCACTATACCTTCTTCTCAAAATGTAAAATCTGCAATAGCTGCTTATCTTGACACCTACATTAGTTTTTAGTCGCTTTATTGGGGAATTATTTTCATTGTATATAAATGATGCAGTGTGCATTGCAGGAGTTATCGTTGTTCTAGTGTTGGCTCCACTTTTATAGATATTTACTGATCATTACATATGTATCTTTATAATTCGGCGAGCCATATTCAAGTGTTGCTCGACCCAGGAAGAATACGCTAACGAAAGTTACATGTGAGAGTCCCACCGTGTGATCATACTGAAATCTGTGCTCCAACATAAGTGCTGGAGTTATATAAGAACACTTTGTTACCCCGGGTTGACAAATGTACACGCCACTTTGGTGGATAGGTGGATTGCCCATGATGGGCGCAGAACTTTTCTATTTAATGTCGATCTTCCTTGTAACACTTGCCTCATAGCGCAAAGTATACAGCATTAAAATTAGTCTTGAGATCGATTTCATGAAAGTTAAGAAAACTTGATAAACTTTATATTTTCGATAGCCATCGTAATTTTGTATATTATGCCTGTGGGGCCAAATATACTGAAATCAGCTTTTGTAATTAAGATGTTACTTCTCTGAAGGGCATCCTGTCACGGTATATTTGCCAATGCAAACTAAGTGAGCTTCTCACAAAACATTATTCGTCATTAGCCAGGACTACTTCCACGAAGATTCACGTAATCGAACCGTTTTCAACGCTGCGAATGTCATATGGTTTAAAAATGTACAATTTCATGCCAGCAAAACTCAAGCTCTTGATGACTGCTTTCTTTAGGCTTGTTTTCTTTCGTAAATAAACCTTTTGTTTTACACCGACGTTTTTAATTTACAGATAGCTTGAGATATGAAAAACAACGCACTGACAAAGTCCACTGACTAGCATGTAAAATATAAATTCCGTTCTAACCACGAAAAAAATAACAAAAGGGCACGATTCGAGGGGCTGCCTTCGAACTGAGTGACCACGAACATGAGCGAAGTCACAAACTACTAAAATCCAATTCATTCGAGAGGTTGTTTTAAAGACGATAGTCGTTTTGGGGGACCTTTGACGCAAAACTTTTGGTCTGTCTGTCTGTCTGTCTGTCTGTCTGTCCGCCCTAAGGACACTTCAAACGGCACCAAACCGCCAACTCAATCCGCAGAGCCCACCAATATTGCTCAAGGTTTAGCGTCAATAGTTGTGCGATTGTCGTTCAAAAAGGAATTATTGCGCATATCTGAGGCGCCACAACAACGCTTCGATGTTTTCTATGTCTGCATTTACACTAGAAGAGGCACACACAAGTAACTCTAAAGAATGTAGCGTTTATTCGTGCTGCGCTGACAGTGCAACGCGATGTTTAAAAGGTGTTTACAAGGCTTTGCTACAACGTCACGGTGGTGGCGCCTGCCCGTCGCTTTGCGTTCTACACCTTATCACCTCCGAGACTGGCGCGCATTTTTCTTCGCGAGCTGCACGCCTTCGTTTTCGAAGATAACTGCCAGATGACACTTGTGTCTAACGTGCCTAGATGCACTCGTTTGCCTCCGCAACACGCTCGAGGCCCCCTAACGCAGCGCCTGCAGAACACCATTCGCCGATTTTCTTGCGCAGAACATCAAATAAACGTTTTGTTCACTCTCTCCAGACGCAAGACTATCGTCTTTTGACGACCTTCAGAGTGTAACATGTAGATTCGGGCCAGTTGTTTTGTTTGGTTTTATAGAGAACGATTTTTAATTTCAGAAAATACCTCATTGGTGTTATTTTGAGAAATCAAAGAAAAAAGTGTCATATTGCATTTTCTTGGAAAAGAGATGTCATTTACGCGGTAACGAACATGATCTGAAAATGTTCCAGTGCCTATAACATTTGCTGTGTGCTATAGTTCACGCATTGGACGAGTGAAAATCTTGACAATGCCTACGTTGCGATTTGGTTTACTGAATCAATCAGCTTTTATTTCTCCTTGAGAAATATGGGGGTAGCGACAAAAAGCCACAGTACAGTGACTTGACAAAGCTCTGACCCCCTACAAAGTCCAACAGCGAATACTCAATAACAAAATAAAACTTTGTAGGAAATATAACGTTGGGATTCAGTGCACTAATATAGGTAGTGGTAACATATAGTAAAATTTAGGTTAAACAATAAAAAGTTTTGATTCTCTAGGAAACATCATACATAATCAGACACAATCATGCAATTCAGAAAAATAAAGGGGAGTAAAGACGAAAAAAAGGCACAATTATAATAGAAAATATTGTAATCTTTAAAACATAGGTTTATAATTTAGGCAAACAGACTACTATGAAGGCAATGAAAGTACAACAGGAAGAACATAAAAAAAGAAAATTAATGAAGGCAAAGAAAACGCCCTGCGCCGAATAGCTACGCATACGCATCTGAATATCATCACCAGATGCTTGTGGGAAAACAAACTTCTATCACCACCCGATAAAAATGAACGAAGGGTGCGTACTCAAGCCGTCTCAGCAGATATGCCATATTTATAGTACTTTCCAAAAGTGCAGCTAAATGAAATGATCTTGACTGATTTCTGTAGTTAGTGCGACATAATGGCAGGAGCCAGAGGTCCTGGCTTCTTGTGTCGTATGCATAGTGACGTCTTGTTAGACGAAACGAAGTGAAGAAGTCTAAGTTGTTAGTCCTTATGGCGAGACGATATGCACAGGAAAGACGAAATGCGTAGGTCAGTTTAACTTTAAGCATATGAAATGCTTTCAAATAAGGGGCAGTGTGAGTAGCATTAGTAAGTAGTAGCACGGAGCAACTGACAGTCAGTTAAAAAAATGCGAAGTATGCATTCTATATTTATATAATTTACACCATTAGTCAATCATAATTGATCTTGGTGCTAGTGTAGCCAATTGTTTGCAACAGCTCAATTGTGTTCAGAAACTGAGGTCTATTTCTACATTTCTCTTCCAGTGTGCAACTGCTCAAGGCCCTCAACTGGTGGCTACATACGCCTTCCAAAAAACGAGCCTCGTTGGTTTTATAACAAGACAAGACGAAAATGCCAACCGGTCATTGGTGTACCCGGAGGATGTAATAACTTCGACAACCGTTTAGGGTGCAGGATGTATTGTGAATTACCGAGGAGGAAGCCAGTTTGGCTGCTCACAAATAGATGGTGGTAAAATATTTATGTGGCATCAGCAGGCCACTTTTTCGCAATCACAAGCATTCCTTTTGTTTCCTAATTTCCCAGCATTAATTTTAGATGAGCTTTGCACCACGTCCGCTGATATTCCTACCCCATATATGCTTTGTTAATCCCATATGCGCTTTACAAAATATTTGTAAGGATATCGTTCGCGTTGACATTGACGACAATGAGCATGGACAGACGTAATTTTGTTGTGATATTTTGAAAACAATAAAGTTAAATAATGAAAAAAGTGATTTATACATCTCCTAATGAACGCGAGGGACACTAACCGACAAGTCCAGTTTGCGATGTAAAGGTGTTTATAATAATGGGTTCCACAAGAACGAAAATAATATTTAAATTGAACTTGTCACACACCAGAAAACACTATATTTTTCGCACATAAATTTGAAAGCATAGAAGTCTTTCGAAATTAGGGATCTTTATATTAGCACTCTGCTTTTGCATTAGCCTACATTGCCCAGCACTTGTTCTCATGATAAATAACAAGGTATGAAATCGAACAACGCTTCAAGATTTGATATCGGTTTGCGTGATCATGCGTGAAAAGCAATGATGGTCGGTGCAGTGTTGCTCCATAAAGTAAAAAGCAGTCATTGCTTGATATTGCCCGCTGGTGGCAAACTTGCCAAATTATTATTTTATACTATTGCTTTAACTCATGTCAGATCATACGCCACAAGCGTCTGCCACAGCACATCGGAGAGGAGCTGAGTGGCAGTGCTCATTGTCTTGCATGTGTAACATTGAAAACTGCATATAAACTTTGCAGCGCTATATCTCGGAGTAAAGCTGCGCGAGGGATTTCTTGGTGCACCCTGACAGCTGCATACGGACCGCGGCCGCTCTTTTTTGTCCAAAGTGATCGTGCGCTACAGAGCATAAGCTATTTACCGCGTAGCACCCACAAACTAAGGGCCTAACTGAACGTCTCAACCGCGCGCTCACAGAGATGCTTTCGATGTAGTCTCCGAAGATCTTCGTGACTGGGACACCACGTTGGCCTATGTGACTTTCGCATACAATTCATCTCGACATGACACCACGGAATTCTCACCTTTTTATTTTTTGTATGGTCGCGACCTTATATTGCCATTTGAAACCACCTTACTTCTCAAGCCATCTGCTTCCGCGTACGCTCGCGAAGCCATTCATCGGGCTCACATGGCTCGTCAAGTTGCCCAGTCTCGTCTCACCAGGTCACAGGATATGCAAAAAGCCCGCTACGACCCCCGGCATCGTAACATAACGTTTGTCCCAGGTCACCGCGTGCTCCTCTGGTCACCGTGTAATCGTGTAGGTCTCAGAAAAACTTTTGTCCTGACACGCAGGACCCTACCTAGTCTTCCGTCAAGTTAGTGACCTGAACTACGAGATAGTGCCATTGCACTCTGATACATCACTAAGTTGGCCACCTGTTGACATTGTCTATGTTTCGCGCATGAAACCCTACTTCTGTCACACTTCTCCGGACTCGCGGCGAGACGGCGCTCTAACGCCCGGGGGTCCTGTTACGAAGTAAAGGAAGATGAACGACAGAATCAGCTGACAGGCGCGAGTCTGCCAATCAGCCACTGTGACTCTTGCCTGTGGTTATTCCTCTGTGAACTTACTTACAGCGCAACACCAGAAAAAATACAGGACAGGAAAGGAGTAGAACAGAAAGAAAAGACGGCGCTGACTCACAACTGTTGTTGATTGGAAAGAACGGGGTGAAAAGTATATATATAAAGGTACTGGCAGCCTACATCACAACATGCGCAGAATACGAGGTGCACCGAGGTAGCGTTATCACACTCATGGCATTAAACAAGCTTGGCCTAAATAACTTAATTCTTTTTCATGCAGTGTGACGGATGGTTCACTAACGCACTTGCTACCCCTAATCTTTATATGATATGCCTCAGTGATTTCTCTAGTTAGCTGGTTAGGATGCTTGAAGATGATGGTGGTTCTCTCAAAAATGGGACGACAACCGCATAACATACAATGTTCCGGCAGATGAAGTAGCGCAATCTCTTGAAGAGATAACTCATTCTCCCTTAAACGAACATTCACGCATCGTTTCGTTTGTCCCACGTACTCCCTACCACACGATAATGGAGTTAAATACACAGCTTTTTTTACGCATGCGATGTACTTCTTCTTACGATTCACAGCGCATCTCCCTTTGGCCTGTTTGTTCCTCAGCGCATTATCAACCATCGGGCAAATGCGACCTACCTTATGTTTGGCGGAAAAAAATTGCCCGCAGCTTCCCTCTGGGGAACACTGAGGAGGATGCGGACCATATAATTGGTTAACGGGGTGTTAAAGTGCGACTTACTTGGGTCGATGGCTAAATTGGTTAACGTGGTTGTGAAATGGGGTGTTAAATTGCGACTTACTTGGGTCGATGGCTAAATTGGTAACGTGGTTGTAGGAGGGGTGTTAAATGAGTGAACACGTACACACGTATGCGAAAGGGCGGCGCTGGTCGAAGGGACGTCGATCATTGTGTTTGTGGATTCGTTGGAATTCATTTCACCGCAGCCTTGGACGTCGACGCGCCGTACAAACCAACCGACGAGCGGCAACTGAGCGAGCGAGCGCCGACCTTGAGTATATTATACAGCACGATGGCGCATGCACTGTCAGCTGTTGAATGTTCTCGAAGCGCGACGCCACATGCGCGTCCACTGGAGAATCAGGAGAATTGTAGATGTCGAACGCGGTGTGTAGAGGAGGAAGGGTGCACAGATGGTGGAGGAGTGAAGCGCGCGCGGTGTGTAGAGGAGGAAGGGATGCATAGATGGTGGAAGAGTGGGCGACGGCGCGACGGCGCATGCGCGCGCGTCAGCTGTCGAATGTTCGAGAAGCGGTGCGGACGGCGCACTACAAGGCGCGAGTATAAGATGCTCCGCATCTAAAAAAGAACGTCGACACCATACCTTGAGCCTACGTTTTTCAGCCCATGCGTCAATTTGTGTACATAAGGAAAAACTGCTCTTTTTCTTTTTCCATCAGAATTTTCTTGGGCTCCTCTGTGTTTCACGAGCTTAACGCTCCGAACCATTGACTCACACACAGACGAAATCACCTTGTTAGGGTACCCAGCATCTACTAAGCATTTTACCTGGTTATGAAAAAACCCCGCCGCGGTGGTCTAGTGGCTAAGGTACTCGGCTGCTGACCCGCAGGGCGCGGGTTCGAATCCCGGCTGCGGCGGCTGCATTTCCGATGAAGGCGGAAGTGTTGTAGGCCCGTGTGCTCAGATTTGGGTGCACGTTAAAGAACCCCGGGTGGTCTAAATTTCCGGAGCCCTCCACTACGGTGTCTCTCATAATCATATAGTGGTTTTGGGACGTTAAACCCCACATATCATCATCATCATCTGGGTATGAAAAGCAGTATTCGACATGTGCACACAGGATTCCCTGAGCGACGCATTTAAAATTGTCTTTGCAATCGCTCTCTTCACAATCTTAGAATGGCCAGACTTGTAGTTTAAGATAGGCTTAACTGATCTTGGGTCATATTTCCAACACAAATGATCTTTACCACGTGCACGTGTGGAATACTGCTTTTCATAACCAGGTAAAACGCTTAGTAGATGCTGGGTATCCTGACAAGGTGATTTTGTCTGTGGGAATTGATGATATGCAAACCACGAATGAGAAATGTTGATATGTCGCTTTAAAATCCGCACAACATTACCAGGTGGAAGTAAATGATGCCGTACATGACTTCCGTGTCAATATTATCATGTTTGGATGTGTCGCTTACCTTTGTCATCTATTCACGTCACGTGATACCAAATTTAGTATATGTGGAGCTGGCAAAACGCCCACGAGCAGGCTATGAGCGCGGTATGCTGTCGTGTTCTTACATAACAAGCGTGTCAGAATTATCATGTTTGCACCAGTCATATATTTCCTCATCAATTGACGTCACGTAACATCAAATTGGGTATATGTGGAGCTAACAAAACGGCCGCAAGTGCCTTTTGAAGGGCCCAATGTAGCATTGGTGCACGCGCACACTACGTTAGCCACACTAAGTTATCCAAACGCCAGCACTCTATAGTCTGACGCCATGCGCGACCAGCGCCCGTCAGCGCGGCCCGACTGTAACCGGCGCGAAACGCGACATGCTGCATTTCTCACTGAGGCGTTACCCAGACAACATTGCGTCTCCCTCATTTCTTGACGGAGCGCCGCCGGACGCGCTGAAACGCGCATGCGTCAAAGGAACGCAGCGTGACGCGCGTCTGCGGGTATATGGCAGGACCGGCGCCTGGCATGGCAACGCCGGTGTGACACGACGAAATGAACGCCGGTGAGCACGTGCACCGCATCACGCCAAAGTGTATTGGAGCCTTGACTGTGGCATGTAGTCATGTTCTCACATGACACGCATCTCATGATTATCATGTTTGCACTAGTCACAAAGCTTCGTCATCCAGTGACGCCACGTAACACCCAATTCGGCACATGTCAAGCTATAGCGAAATGGCCGCGAGCGCATCATGAGTGTGGCATGTAGTCATGTTGTTACATGAGACGCACGTCGTGATTATCATGTTTGAATGTGTCATTTGCCTATGCCGTACACTCGCGCCACGTAATACTGAATTTCGTACATGTGAAGCTAGAGAAACGACCACCAGCGCATCATGAGCGTGGCATGTAGTGATGTTGTTACATGACACGCGTCTCATGATTATCATGTTTGCACCAGTAACATACCTTTGTCCACCATTCACGTACCATAATACCGAATTTGTTATATGTGACGCTAGCGAAACGGCCGCGAGCGCATCATGAGCGTGGCATGTAGTCATGTTGTTACATGACACGCATGTCATGATTTTATTGTTAGAACCGGTCGCTTGTGTTCGCCATGCAATCATGTCATACCACACCAGTTTTGCAACATGCCATGTGAACGAAAACACATATCGGGATTTTCATGTTGTGACTAGTCAAATGTGTTCTTCATGCAGTGATGTTATGACATGCCAAGTTCGGTATGGATACCATTATCGATACGGCCAGGAGAGCTAAATGTCGTAGGCGGCTAGATAGATAGATAGATAGATAGATAGATAGATAGATAGATAGATAGATAGATAGATAGATAGATAGATAGATAGATAGATAGATAGATAGATAGATAGATAGATAGATAGATAGATACGCTCAGTCGCCGAAGTTCACTAAGAAATGCTTCGCATTGAAAAGA